GTACTTCTACTTTTACTCAAGAACAAGATCTGAGTACTTCTACTTTTACTCAAGTACAAGATCTGAGTACTTCTACTTTTACTCAAGTACAAGATCTGAGTACTTCTACTTTTACTCAAGTACAAGATCTGAGTACTTCTACTTTTACTCAAGTACAAGATCTGAGTACTTCTACTTTTACTCAAGTACAAGATCTGAGTACTTCTACTTTTACTCAAGTACAATACCTGAGTACTTCTACTTTTACTCAAGTACAAGATCTGAGTACTTCTACTTTTACTCAAGTACAAGATCTGAGTTCTTCTACTTTTACTCAAGTACTAGATCCGAGTACTTCTACTTTTACTCAAGTACAAGATCTGAGTACTTCTACTTTTACTCAGGTACAAGATCTGAGTACTTCTACTTTTACTCAAGAACAAGATCTGAGTACTTCTACTTTTACTCAAGTACAAGATCTGAGTACTTCTACTTTTACTCAGGTACAAGATCTGAGTACTTCTACTTTTACTCAAGTACAAGATCTGAGTACTTGTACTTTTACTCAAGAACAAGATCTGAGTACTTCTACTTTTACTCAAGTACAAGATCTGAGTACTTCTACTTTTACTCAAGTACAAGATCTGAGTACTTCTACTTTTACTCAAGTACAAGATCTGAGTACTTCTACTTTTACTCAAGTACAAGATCTGAGTACTTCTACTTTTACTCAAGTACAAGATCTGAGTACTTCTACTTTCACTCAAGAACAAGACCTGAGTACTTCTACTTTAACTCAAGTACAAGATCTGAGTACTTCTACTTTTACTCAAGTACAAGATCTGAGTACTTCTACTTTTACTCAAGTACAAGATCTGAGTACTTCTCCCTCTGATACTTTCTCTCTCAGTGTCGGGTCTCTGGTTATAATGACTCAATGGACAGACAAAGATATTAAGTGAAATATCATTCAATTAAAGCCTCGTTATGAACTGCAGTGATCCATTATAGTCCTGTTTGTACCCTAATATGAGAAAATACTTTGCAATCATAATCCTTAGAAAATGAGCCATTACACAGGAAATAGACAAACCTCCTACTACTGTTCATCGCTCGGTAAATGTGTTACACCTATCTGAGGCTCACAATCTCTTTAAATGTTTAGTTTTTTCCTCATAATCTTTGCACTTTGTGATTATTTATGGGACTATAAAGAATCACTACGGTTTACAACGAGGTTTAATTAAAGGATATTTCACCTAATATCGTTGTCATTGTCTCTACATTGAGTAGTTAGAACCACAGCCCTCAGACTGATAGAAGCGTAACTGATTTAAGTGTCAGTGAGGAACACCATCACAAAGTGCAGAGTTTAAGAGGAAAAAGCCTAAAAGGTAAACCGATTAGCAGTCTCAGAAATCAATAAAACATACACCGCGATGTGGACAGTTAAACCCCGTAACATAATCAGTTTATTCATCCTATTTCTAGTTAAATAGGCCGACTTTTCCTGGGTTTTACACACTAATAAATCCCATTAAAGTTAGCAAAGATAGCTAACTGTTAGCACACATGAAAAACTCATCTAAACTAGCTGTCATTAGCATCCTTAAACACCGACAAACAGAAGAAGACAAAACCCAGCCGACCACATAGGGAGATAAGGGAGACTTAAATACTCTTTATGGGTATTTTAACATCAACATTTATGTAATAAAGAAGGTTTAAAAGGAGGTTTTTCTCACGCTTTGCATCAAATTCCTCCGCTGGGCCGCCATGTTGAACTCGTTGCGTTCAAGGACTCATTTGAAAGTCCGAACTTCCATATTTTGATGCAGAAAAAAACCTAACTTCCTACTTTTAAGTGCAAAACAATACAATTTGATTTGTTATTTATATTTCGTTCAGGTGTTGGCAAGGACTCCTACATTTACTTTGTGTTTATATCGTTCATGTATCGTTTTATACAACAATAATTATGCATTCCCTAATTTCCGACAGCCCATTAACGCAGCATCCATGTCATTTCGTTAAACTTGGTATTTTATGTTTTTTATTTCCGTGTGTTTTCTCTACATTTGATATTTTAAAAGGTTACATGATAACACCAACTGAGTTCATTTTTTAAAAGGTTCAAAGAAACAAACAGCCATCACTTCCGTGTTGTTGCCACGCTGGATTTATTTGACAATACCGCCACCCAATGGGATTGTTATAAATGACAATAATAAACCACATGCATTAGAATACATGATATGACATTCCATGTTACTTATTAGATGCTTTTATCCAAAGCGACTTACACACATTCATCAAAATCAGCCGACAGAGATTACAAATATGGCCACTCTGGTTTAAACTGTCTTTTTTTTGTATCATGAACATTTCAGTAATGGACTCAGCATCCTCAATAACCCCCAAAAACCACTGAAAGAGAGCCCAAATCGGCCAAGCCGTTTTGAAACTATTGTCCGCTATGATGGTTATTAATGCTAATTAATGCAACTTGTGCTAATTATGAAAATAGCCCAACATATCCAATTTAGCCTCCATTACATTACATATCATTTAACTGATGCTTTTATGCAAAGCGACTAACAATAAGTGCAAAAACTATAAAGAATCAAACTCCGAACAAGAAGGAAAGTGCAGATATATTCACTTCAAGCAAGATCATACCATAGCAAGTGCTGGTGAATTAGTTAGAAGGCCTAAATTAACTCAATAACTGCTTTTGTGTTGTTGTTGCAATAACTTAATTGCTATGGTACAGTTAAAATAGATGCGTTTTCAGTTTGCGATGGAAGATATGCAGAGTTTCTGCTGTCCTGATGTCAACGGGAGCTCATTCCATCATTTAGGAGCCAGGAGAGCAAACAGGTGTGTTTGTGAGGGGAGTCCCACTCCCAGAGATGGAGGTTGTTCACAGTTCGTGCTGGGGACCCCTACATTTATATCATAACACTTTGGGGTACTCAACATTTCAGGGTTCACAACAGGACTCTCTGAGCTGCACATTTTAATGTATTTCTTTTTGGAATATGCTCTAATCTGACTAAACAGTATTCTGTATACCAGTGGTTCTCTACCTAGGGGGGGGGTCACGAAAGGATACCAAGGAAACTCACCTGTACTGGCGACATCCTTAACCCCAGAACAGGTTTTAAGGAGTCATTTGAGAGTCAAAAGTGTGCCTTGAGTTTCTGACGGGGGATTTACAAGAGGGTCGGGGGGGAGGAAGTCACCAGCGGATTGAGGTTGAGAACCGCTGGAGTACACCATTTTATAGAGAGGCGTCATATTAAACATGTCTGCTGGAAAGAGATGGTACGCAACACCTCATGATGAAACTCATAACATTAAAACATTTAAAATACCCTCATACTGGGAACCCGCAATACATTTATATCATAACACTTTGGGGTACTCAACATTTCCGGGTTCACAACAGGACTCTCTGAGCTGCACATTTTGATGCATTGCTTTTGGGAATATGCTCTAATCGGATCTTCACTGCAAAATGCAACCTTTCTTTAGGACATTTCCCCTCGTGGACCTGAAAGAACAGGAAAACACTTTTATTATATAACCAACAACCACTTTAAACAGAGGTCTTGTAAAAAATCCTGTTTAGCTAAGAATAAATAAATGTTTACTTTTGTGAAGTAGTTGGAACAGTGTCTGCTCATGTTATAGGATTACCTGTATGAAGATGTAGGGGTGTGTTCAGGTGAGAAGGAAATGGAGCCTGGAATAATGAAAGGCCTCAAGTTATTTATTTTAATAGAACCAGCCAATCGCAGCACATTAGGGCTGGTATGAAATATATTTGTTAATCTTTGGTTTTAAATATATTTATGTTTCTTCTCTACATATTTCTTTTAAAGAAAAGCTTTAAGTGAAATTGACTGTTTGTTTGTTATGGAGAATATACCGTCAGTTCATCCAGTTCTCACTTCCTGTTTGACACCCGAGTCTCCTGAAAGAATAATGATAATCAAACATCAGCAGAGAGAAACATTGGCAGCTAAAATGATTGAAGAGAGCGGAAACAAGATGGAATAGATACATTTTAAGATCAGATTTTAATGTAGGATTCTGTTTCTTGGCTCTGATCGTCTCGTCATTGATCCTGTAGGGATGAACACAACCCAACAGTTATGGATTAAAATAAGTGTTTGTTCTTTGAGTCAGCTTCAGAGTCCTGACTGATCTCATGCTTTACATCCCATCATCTCTTCTCTGCAAACACTACGACTGACTGCCTCAGCTCTCAGCTAACAGGACATAACTGCTCATTAGTCTAGAAACAAAAGCATGACAGGAGAACCACACAGTGCTAAGCTAGGCTACGTCTGGAAGGAAGAACTGGAGGGATTACTCAGTGTGAGAACACATCAACCCCCCAACACAAAACTGCTGAACCAGCAAAGAGTCGACTCCTTACTGACCCGAGAGTCTCCAGAAGATCTCTCGGACGCTTCACTCCTGAATCCTGCAGATTGTTCTCACTCAGGTCCAGATCTCTCAGATGGGAGGGGTCATACTTCAGAGCTGAGGCCACGACTTCACAGAGAGTCTCTGAGAGTCCACAGGAAGTTAGTCTGTCAGGACAGGAATTATAGAGTGAGTTATTCACAAAAAGATGTAACATTATATTAACTTGGTGCATTTGATGAGAAACATTAGACACATTATGTTCTGATTAATATTCACTGTATGGTTCACTTATTATATTATTGAGTTTTTCATAATGGTTCCTTTTTGCTCTCACAGTTGTCATGACAGGTTGTCGTGTTTAATTGAGGAAGTAAACTTCTGATGTGCACTAATTTATTAAGTTAATCGCATGTGGACTCACTCAGCCTTTCTGCAGTTCCTCACAGCTGGAATCAATCCCCGTTTTCCCTCTTGCGATGTTTTGTACTTCTGCAGGTCCAACTCCTCCAGAACCTCCTCTGACATCTGCAGCATGTGGGCCAGAGCAGAGCAGTGGATCTCAGAGAGTCTCTTCCCTGACTTCAGGAACTTTGTGATCTCCTGATGTACTGGATTTCTTTGCGACCCAGCTGGCCTCTGAAGAGTCTCTGGATGATTTCTGGACGGTTGTCTGTGCGACCAAGAAGGCCTCCTGAGAGTCTGTGGTTGGACTCCAGAGAGAGGCCGTGGAGAAAGCGGACAAACAGGTCCAGGTGGCCATTTTCACTTCTGAGGGATTTCTCCATGGCTCCCTTCAGTAAGACATCCAGGGATGGGTAATCCTGATCACTGTTATACCTGTTGCTATAGTCTCTCTGCAGGAAGTCCTTCAGTACCGCTGTGTCTCTGTTGGTGTAACAGTGCAACATGTAGACTGCAGCCAGAAACTCCTGAATGCTCATATGAACAAAGCAGTAGACTGTTTTCTGGAAGATCACACTCTCTCTTTTGAAGATCTCTGTACATACTCCTGAGTGCACCAAGGCCTCGGTGACACCAAGACCACAGCGCTCCAGGTCTTCTTGGTAGAACATGAAGTCTCCTTTCTCCAGATGTTCAAACGCCAGCCTCCCCAGCTTCAGAAGAACCTCCCTGTCAGCCTCCGTCAGCTGCTGTGGACCCGTCTCATGTCCCTCTTCATATTTCTGCTTCTTCCTCTTGGTCTGGACCAGCAGGAAGTGTGAGTACATGTCAGTGAGGGTCTGGGGCAGCTGTCCTCTCTGGTCTGTAGTCAACATGTGGTCCAGAACTGCAGCAGTGATCCAGCAGAAGACTGGGATCAGACACATGATGTGGAGGCTCCTGGAGCTCTTAATGTGAGAGATGATTCTGCTGGACAGGTCTTCATCACTCGATCTCCTCCTGAAGTACTCCTCCTTCTGGGCGTCAGTGAAGCCTCGTACTTCTGTTACCCTGTCCACACACTCAGGAGGGATCTGATTGGACGCTGCAGGTCTGGAAGTTATCCAGACGAGAGCCGAGGGAAGCAGCTTCCCCCTGATGAGGTTTGTCAGCAGCACGTTCACTGAGGACTGCTGTGAGACTTCAGACACAACCTCACTGTTTCTGAAGTCCAGAGAAAGTCTGCTTTCATCCAGGCCGTCAAAGATGAGCAGCACTTTGCAGACAGCCAGCTGCTCTGCTGTGACCTTCTGTAAGGTTGGATGGAAAACATGCAGCAGCCTGAGAAGACTGTACTGCTCACCTTTGATCAGGTTCAGCTCCCTGAAGGAGAGCGGGATCACCAGACTGACATCTTGGTTTCCCAAACCCTCGGCCCAGTCCAGAGTGAACTTCTGCACTGAGAAGGTTTTTCCAACTCCAGCGACTCCGTTGGTCAGGACCGCTCTGATGGGAGTCTGTTGGTCAGGTAAGGCTTTAAAGATGTCCTGGCACTTGATTGGAGTGTCATGGAGGGGCTTCTTCTTGGAAGCTGTCTCCAGCTGCCTCACCTCATGTTGGGTATTAACCTCTTCACTGAGGCCTTGTGTGATGTAGAGCTCAGTGAAGATGCTGTTGAGGAGGGTTTCACTTTTATCAGTTCCTTCAGTCACACGTTCACATCTCCTCCTCAGACTGAGCCTCGGTTCATCTAAAACCTTCTGCAGACCACTATCTGCTGGAAGAGAAGAACACATGTGAGATAAATTAGTGGTTAAAAATCACAAAAACAATTAACAGGAAGAATTATTTTTCTGAAATCAAGACACCAGCAGAAATATGTATAGACTTACTCTGTATAATGCTGCATCTTTCTCCACACTGGGGACAGCAGGAGTCTCCTGATGGAGTTGGCTGCTCCCAGTATGAGGCGATGCACTGTCTGCATAACCAGTGTCCACAGCTGGTAGAGACTGGATCCTTCAGGACGTACTGACACAGAGCACAGCTGGACAGCTGCTCCTCCACAGGAACACGACTTTTCCTCTTCTCTCTGTGGAGATGAAAACATCCTTTATAGCACTTTACATTAGTGGTGGACGATTTTAACCAATGGTACAATAAGGAGGAAAGTTCTGGTTTGATATTATTAAAAGGTTTTAATCCTTTTTCCACCGCTTATCCGAGGTCAGGTTCCCAAGCCAGTGTGGAGTTAAATCCCTCCACCATGTCCTGGAACTGTCCCTCGGTCTCCTGCTAGCTGAACACCTCCCTAGGGAGTCGGTCAGGTGGCTTCCTTACTGCCCGAACCTCCTCTCCTGGCTCTCTTCTATGCGAAGGATCAGCTAACTTCTCACCTTATCCCTAAGGGAGATGCCAGACACCCTCCAGAGAAAACCCATGTCAGCCGCTTGTTTACCCGCACTACACATTTGGGCTCACCAGGTTTATCCAGTCCACTTCAAATACTCGAGACGATGCAGTTATGTATTTGAAGTGGACAGGGCCATATCTCAACATTGCAATGGGCCAGGAAGCTGATACTTAAACTGTGTCATACATATAACCAATGGAATTAGTGGACCGATTCCAGAGATGATTGGAGAACCTTTGTGTCACATTTCACACTCATATCTGAAAAACTTCAATTTTCCTGAGAAAAATAAAGTTGCTCTGATTTGCCTGAAAGTTGGTATACTGAGAAAAGTGGCCTCACAGGTGAGTATTTCAAACTTACGTACATGCATCTCCTGGCATTTTGGATATATGACCTTGTACACTTCAAATGTGTTGCAATGAGATTTTATGGCAAGACCTAATCGAACTAGAATGTGTAGGCCTAAATAGGATCCTGTCGCCTCAGATGTCCTTTACTTTAATAGTAATTTATCGACCACCTTCCTCAAATGTTAGCTTCTATGATCAATTCAAGAAGGTTTTATGTCAATGTGATTTTAAACAAGAGGTAATTGTAATGGGTGACTTACATTTGAATTGGGAAGATAAGTCGTCAAGGAAGAAGCTTTAAGCAAATTACTGATAGTTTTAATTTGACTCAAATCGTTAAAGGCCCAACGCGAATAACAAACAGCACCAGTACCCAGCTTGACCTAATTTTAACAAATCGACCTGAAAGGATTACAAAATCATACAATATGGTAACAGAGCTGTCAGACCACAATATGGTGCTGGTATCTAGAAAACTAACTGGCAAACGGTTCACTGCGTATGCAGGTAATAAAGAATCCTTTCGCATCCCAAAAAACAAGCAAGAAGACTTCAGATCTATACAAAACTTAGATTGGGAAGATCTAGTACTTGAAAATGATTTAGAAGTAACCAGTCAAAACTTTACGGGAAAACTACAGGCCACAATAAATGAATTTTCAATCATGATAAAACATAAAAATAAGAAACAGACTCTCCCCAGGATGAACGGACATGTCAGAAATGTAATGAAGCAGCGGGACAGTGCCTTAAAAACTGCCATAAAATCAAAGATGTCCCATGATAGACATATATTTGCAGGGCTAAGAAACAAGGCAACAAGGGAACTGAGAAAAGCAAAAGCGGACTTCTTTATCACAATTATTGAAAATGCTCAGGGCAACTAAAAAGCTATATGGAGCCAAATAAAAAAATTAACTGGTCAAAACACTACGACAGCCAAGCCAATTGAATTGAGGGTTGAGGGCGCAACTCTGCAATGCCCAGCTGATGTGGCAACTACACTCAATTATTATTTTGTTGAGTCAGCAGCTACCATAGCCAGTAACTTCATAGCTCAGGAAGTTAATGCACTCCCGACTGTCAACACTAGCGAACCAGCAGCTGTTCTAAAGTCAGTGTCTGAGACAGAGGTTGCGGAAGTAATTGCCAATCTGAAATCCTCAAGGGCCAAGGATATCTACGGTATGGACACATTCATGCTGAAAGACATTAACTCCTCAATTGTTAAGCCCCTAACGCAGATCATTAATATCGCAATCAATCAAGGGAGTTTTCCCAATCAATGGAAGCCTGCTGTTGTGGTCTCGTTATTCAAAGGTGGAGACCCTCTCATGACATCCAACTATAGGCCCATCAGTATCTTACCCGTAGTATCCAAGGTATTTGAGAAATTGATTGCCAAACAAATCATCAATCACCTGAACAACAGCTCCTTTCCACTGCATCCAATGCAATTTGGATTCAGGGCTAATCACTCAACAGAAACAGCGACATGCTTCTTCGTGAAGAAGGTTAAGGCATCAATGGACAGGGGTGGGGTTGTGGGGTGGGGTTGTGGGGGCCGTGTTCCTTGACTTACGGAAAGCTTTTGACACTGTTAATCACAACATCTTATTGCAAAAAATACTCAACTTACATTTTTCTATAGAATTCACCAACCTCTTTAATTCATATCTTTCATCCCGCTCCCAATGTGTTCAAATTGAGAACCATAAGTCTAGTGCACTATGATTGTCAACTGGAGTACCGCAGGGCTCTGTATTGGGCCCAATCCTGTTTAGTATGTACATAAATGATCTGCCTTCTGTGTGTGGAGAATGTGATGTATTAATGTATGCTGATGATACAGTTGTTTTTACTCATGGCAAAACCGCAGAAGAGGCTGCTACCAAGGTCGCTGATGTGTTGGAGAATATTACATCCTGGCTTAACAATAATTGTTTGCAACCAAATGTCTCAAAGACAGTGTGTATGTTCTTCTCCAAGGGCCACAGCATTATAACAGAACAAGATGTTTTCTTTTCTGGAAGGAGACTTCAGGTTGTCTCGGAGTACAAGTACTTAGGAGTACATATTGACACAAACCACAATTTCAAAACCCATATCAAAAAGGTCTGCAATAAAGTAAAGTTCAATCTGTCAAATTACAGATACATTAGAAACTTCCTATCATCCTATCACGTTAAAGCGGCTTGAAGTTGATGCCCTGAGAATCTCTTCAGAACAGACATGTAACTGAACCCTTAGTTGGTGAGGAGGAGGAGGAGGAGGAGTCAAAGGATTACGCCAAACAAAAGAAACAAGCATAACAAAACCAGGCCTATCTCTACATCTATCCTTTGAAACCAAAACTCAAACAAAAACCCTCACTAACTAAACTACAAAGACTTTGACAAAACAATATACAGGGGTGGCAACAATCCGCTAACCTAGTGTGTAAACATTAGTTAGCTATGTGGTGAGAAATGTACAGGGTACCCCAGACTTACCTAACTCCTCCATCTCTCAACACACACACTTTCAAAAGGGTCAGACAATACAAAGTGAATTAGTTGCTAAACACTGCAGGCTCCTTCATCAGCAACAGGCCCAGAGTGAGAGAGCGAGAAGACTTCCTGGGTGCCTCCTTTATGGTCGGCCCTGGCTGCTGATAGGCCAGCTGAGGGTGAGAGGATCCAATCAGCCATCAGACTCAGGTGCACAGGCAGATACCGATCAGCTGCTGATTAGCTGTGCAGAAGACAGGGAGAAGAGAGAAGCACAGGAGGGAAGGAAAACCACACCAGTACAGCCTGCCTGGCACGTAACAGTGTGTTTCTGTGTTTCTGTGTTTCTGTGTTTCTGTGTTTCAGTGTTTCAGTGTTTCAGTGTTTCAGTGTTTTTGTGTTTTTGTGTTTTTGTGTTTTTGTGTTTTTGTGTTTTTGTGTTTTTGTGTTTTTGTGTTTTTGTGTTTCTGTGTTTTTGTGTTTCTGTGTTTCAGTGTTTCAGTGTTTCAGTGTTTCAGTGTTTCAGTGTTTCAGTGTTTCAGTGTTTCAGTGTTTCTGTGTTTTCTATGTTTTCTGTGTTTCAGTGTTTCAGTGTTTCAGTGTTTCTGTGTTTTCTATGTTTCAGTGTTTCTGTGTTTCTGTGTTTCAGTGTTTTTGTGTTTTCTGTGTTTCTGTGTTTTCTATGTTTCAGTGTTTCTGTGTTTCTGTGTTTTCTGTGTTTCAGTGTTTTCTATGTTTCTGTGTTTTCTGTGTTTCAGTGTTTCTGTGTTTTTGTGTTTTCTATGTTTCTGTGTTTTCTGTGTTTCTGTGTTTCTGTTTTTCTGTGTTTCTGTGGGGGTATAATACGCACGTTTCAATACACATTTATCATACATCTTCCCTGTTATCCTCCCCTTGTTATAATGACGACAACAGTGCATGTGAAGGACTGTAATACACATGTATCAGACACGCTCCCCTTGCTATAATGAAAACAAAATTCAGATTGAACATAGTAAAAAACTGTAAATTATAGTAATTTAAAAACGTTTTACTATGTTCAATCTGAATTTACTTTAAAATAAAAACATCTATATTGATTCTGACTTTTCTACATCCAACTCACAGGTTTATCATTGCTTTGAGAAAAAATATTATGAATTTACCCCTTTTAGACGGGAAGATATGGTCTTATTATAGTTATTTGTTCTGGAAATGTCATTTTCGAGCCTGAGGCCTGAAAAACAGACTCGGGGCTTAACAGGTTAAAGGAGCTCCTGTGTTGCCTCATTCACACCAACGGTGTTTCAGGGCCGGTTCGGAGCTGGAGCTTGAAAAGCACCGGGTTTTCCTCTTCACACCGCAGCGGAGCAGCCTCTTAGCTCCGGAATCCGGTTCGTTTCAAGCACCAAAAAATTGTCCGGCTAGAGCAAAAGCACCGCATACGTCACGCTTACGTTGAGGCGGGGGCAGGGGCAGAGACAGATCAACTCCTGAACAACAACAAAAAGCCCGCGTTTTATCCAGTTTGTACAACGATGGAGAAACTTAACAAGAGTTTCAGAGTTTCAGTGTTTCTGCCATAGACTGTATATAAAGGTTTCTGCTCATGGTGAAGCAACGTGTCTGCATGTTAAGGTGGAACCTGAGCATTCACGTTGATCACCTCTCATTATAACTCATTATAAATCTATAAATCTATAAATATTCAACTTTACTTCACGTGTTCATTTGAGAACAGCTGTTACATACCTGGGTGAAGGTTACAGTTCATTTAAATGAAAGATACAACGTTACTCCACACTCATGGTTCAGTCCACCTTAAGAAATAAGACCGACCTCGGAAGCAGTTGTGTTTTAAAAAAACCTTTATTGACACGAGTACACTTTTTTATAAGAATATAACTAAACCACAGAAATGACTCCGGAAAAGCTGCAGATAGAGCCATAAGAAATGAATGCAACTGATTTCATCCACGCGGTTTGGCTTTATGAAGCAGGCACGCAAACGGTTACGTCATGACGCAAACGATGACGCAACGACGCATTACCAGTCGGACTCTGGGCGGTGTGAAAAGAGCCAGCGCTAAACCGAAGAACTGGTTCTGAACCTGAAAAGCTCTAGCACGGAGCTTGAACCAGAGTTGCGTTGGTGTGAATGAGGTATGTGAGACACTAATCAAGAGGGGTCTGTTTGATGAGCTAACTCTCACAGATAAAGTGCATGATGTCGCAGGTTTTTTTCCCCCACTCCAAGGCCTGACTTCCCAAGCTGGGATGTTTGCAGAAGAGCTACAGCTGACTGCGCATCAGGGAGGTAGAGCTGAGACACAAAGAGTTGGAGAGCCGCTCTAACATCCAGTACATCACCTACCCATAGGCTATCCACAAATCCCCAAGACAGTTTTGATGTAAGTAGGCACATTGCATTAGTCCCCCATTAGAGTCCTTCAGAGTCCGCTAGAGTCCTCCAGAGTCCTACAGAGTCCTCCAGAGTCCGTCAGAGTCCTCCAGAGTCCTTCAGAGTCTGTTAGAGTCCGTCAGAGTCCGTCAGAGTTCTTCAGTGTCCTTCAGAGTCCTTCAGAGTCCGTTAAGACACACCAAGCTGACACCAAATAACTGACACAGACGGACCCCACGACTGTTGTTTTGCCTCGCTTCTCTGCGTCTTGGCCATGTGTCGCACTGGAACACACCGCAAAGACTTCAGCCGACGGCAAAGAAGCACGTACGGACTGCGCATGCGTGAGTTGCAATAACTCTCCTTACCAGCAGGCGGCGGTAGTGTGTTTTCGTCATTCAAAAGAGGCAACAATCGGAGGACAGGCTGCGTGATAACCGAGAGAATAAGAACAGACTGCGTGATATAAACAAACAACAAATAGCGTGTGCGTTCCATTTTCACTCTACAGCGAGAAGCTCACGGGGCTTTCCCGAACCTGAGTCGAGAGCTGGAGTGAAATGGAATCTCAGATTTGCCTTCTTAATAGTTTGTTTGGGTCCCTCACTTCCGTTTCGCTTCTCATGCACTGATTCGCTAGCTGAACAGCCAATCAGAGTGGTTTCTTTTGCAGACAGCCTGTAGCCGACAGCCTCCCGGTGGGTTTCCGGCCGAAAAGGTGTCGGCACGGCTGAAAAGACACGACGGTGCGGGACACACCAATCTGAGTAGGGTGTGTCAACGCTCATCGTCGGCCTGACGCCCATCGATGGCCAAAATCGGCTTGCTGTGTCCGGGCCTTTAGAGTCAATAAGAGTCCGTAAGAGTCCGTAAGAGTCCATCAGAGTCCATCAGAGTCCGTTAGAGTCCGTGTGAGAAACCGTTAGAACTTTATAATAACCATATCTCTTTCAATCCAACATTTATTTAGGGGGAAATGTTGGATTTTTAGTTGGGGGGGTGTTATGACTCTGGGTCATTCGGTCATTTTGTGTGTGGATATTTTCCCTCCTCCTGTGATTGTGTGTGTGTGTGTGTGTGTGTGTGTGTGTGTGTGTGTGTGTGTGTGTGTGTGTGTGTGTGAGAGTGAGCAGGTGATGTGCGTTAGCTGATTGACTGCCTTCGACATGCTGATTGGTCCACCTGAAGAGACAGGGGCATTTAAGCTGGAGCCAGTTCCTCTGCCCTCTCTCTCATCGACCTTTCCTACTCCCAACTCTGTGTCTGTTGTAGTAGATCTGTAAAGCTAAGCTAATGTAATCTGTCTTGAAGACATGCTGGGATTTGCCTGCGAAACCCTTTTATTTTGTTTAAATCCCGTTTTCTCCTGTTTTTTGTTAGGTTAGGTAAGAAGCCTATATTTTATTTTACTTCTTTTGTTAGGCAAGATGTATGCAAAGGTTTATTTGTTGATGTGGGTTTGTCTCGCCTCCTTTAAAAAAACAGGCAATTAAAATTACCAAACGCAATTTCCTGTGTCATTGACCATTTCTTGGGAGTGGGAAGAGTGGGGAGAGGGCAATTTTGTGCTGCGCCTAGGTTCCCTTAGACCGGCGCGTAACCACAGTAGGTTCATTCTGGATTTTGCCACTGTTGTTGAACCGCTACGTGCAGTACTCAGAGACTCTACTGACCTGAGGTTCCAGTGGACTACTGAGGCTGATTCCAGTTTTGCTGACATTAAGAGACTGATATCTGAGAGCCCTGCTCTTTCCTTGTATGACCCCCAGTTGCCTACATTTGTTACTACTGATGCTTCTGATTATGGACTGGATGCTGTACTCACCCAAATTCACTCTAATGAGACTGAGAGAATTGTAGCATTTGCATCCAGGACGCTTTCTCCTGCTGAAAGGAAGTACTCTACGGTTGAACGTGAAGCACTTGCATGTGTTTAGGCGGTGGGAAATGGGGAGAACCTATCTCTGGGGACATTCCTTTGTGCTATGTACAGATCACCAAGCCCTTACAACCCTGCTCACATCCAAGGGGGCTGGTCGAGCGGGTCTGCGCATCGCACGATGGTCAACACGACTGCTCTGCTTCACTTATGATGTCACCTACCGTCCTGTGAAACAAAATGTGACAGCTGACTGCCTTTCCAGACTTCCGCTGCCTACCACTACAGATACCACTGAGGTACCAGATGGTGGCTACGGTTTTTAAAGAATCCTTGCATGCACTGTCTGTTCCAGAATATACTGCTGCCTTTGACACCTGCCCTGAACTGACACAACTGTGACGTCAAATACAAGCTGGTTGGCCAAAATGCAGAAAGAGTGTATCACCAGAACTTGCTCCGTACTTCAATGTGCGAGATGAACTGGCCGTGGATAACTCACTTATCATGAGAGGCATTGATCGCATGGTCGTTCCCACTTCACTACGTTCCAGAGTGGTGGAATTGGCTCATGAGGGACACCAAGGGATAGTGCGTACTAAGCAGAGACTGTGTGAGTTATATTTATGGCCACAAATGGACAAATGTGTACAGACTATGATTGCTTCTTGTGTTTCATGCCAATACAGTGACAAAACAGCAAAGACTGCACCTGGACCACTTACACATGTGGAGCTGCCAGATGGACCCTGGGAAAAGGTAGCTATTGACATATCAGGACCCTTTGAAAGTGCTACATGGGACTGCCGCCATGCCATCGGCCTCACAGATTATTACAGTAAGTGGCCAGAGGTGGCATTTGTCACTACAGATGTCATCATTCGCTTCCTCACTTCAGTGTTCAGTCGTGAGGGAAATCCATCCTGGTCTCTGACAACGCATGTCAGTTTACCTCTTGATGGACTCATGGTGCCAGAGAACGGGGTTCATAATGCCTGAACCTGGTCCAAGACGAAACCAGAGAGTCAGAAACCCACCACAGTGGTTGACAGGTTTTGTAAGATAAAACATGTGAAAATATGGACTAACAGTAATGCCATAACTGAGAATGTATTGATACTGTTATGTGAATGTAAGTATTGATACTGGTGTGTGAATTTATCCTGTTCTGAGGACTGAGTTAAAGAAAAAATATTTACAGTACTTCATTACATTTGAATACCAAAACTGAATGTTTAAATTGGTGTTTTCATTCATAAGGTCATTTGACTTAGATACTAAGAGTAACCTGAGTTTGCATTCAAGTCTTGCACTAAGAACCAGTCATACTTTATGGTTTAATATGTTGATTTCTTTGTCTTGAGTTACAGGATGCTGTGTTCACTAAAATATTTAATATTACTGAGTTACATATAGTAGGAGGTTATTCCTTCAAGAAAAGGGGAAATGTTGTGTCCTGTGACTGTAGCCAGAGGGCGCTGTTGGACAGAGAGTTGAGATAGGATGCCTGAAGGTGGAAGTGAGAGGAAGAAGAATAAAGATGCAGTAAAGGATAGCACACGTGCCTACGGCTCATACTTTCTACCTACTTGCATACAAAATACCACACACTTGCATAGTTTGTGCAAACAATTAAAGGATAGGAAAGCGTTGTAAATTATATTTATAAGCTAACAGTTTCAAAATGAATGTGTATTTTGAAGGGTTGGATCAGGGGTGTCCAAACTACGGGACCATTTTTAATCGGCCCTCAGAAAATTCAAAAAGTATAATGAGTAGGAAGTATAATAAACTGCGGCCCAATTTTCCAATAAATTCAGTCAATTAAAGTTGAAAACATGTTCAATCAAATATAAGTTGAGAAGAAAAAAGCCATAGGCAGAGTTTGACATTTGCGCTTGGGGGGGCAAACCTTTTTTACTGACGTCAGTACACAGTCCCAACTATTGCGTGGGATGCTACGGATACAGTAGCAATAAAGCCAGCGCTCACCGCACTGAGTATGACTTTTCCATGCCCGCCGTACACACTCACTCATATGGAAGGGGCGGTCTCTCCCCCCAACAACATGCATTACATAACTGTAAAACTTATCATAACTGTGCACATCTTATACTTATTTGATAACTACTATATCCCTTGGTTACTTGAACACTCTACAATATTATTAACCAGTGTCCTACCTTATTAAAATATTGATATACGAAATATTTGTATTGGAACAGTTTTCGACGTAGTAATGCTGTAATATATTTCAGCCACTAGGGGGGCAATGCCCCCCCTGCCCCCCCGCAAAATCCGCCTATGAAAAAAGCCCATTCATATTTCCTCTTATCAGCAATCTGAAGCTTCTGTTTTAAGGAATGAGCTGCTAACAAAATAAAGAAAACCCTCTGGAGAGCTGTGAGCTGTTTTTTTCTAACAGCATTTTCATTTATCAAGAATAATTTACCGACATTATATTGACTTTTCCAACTTATAGCTGAACTTATGAGGCGATAGACCTCTAGTGAGGGGCCCAGACCTTCGTATATTTTCCTGTATGCGACCCTCAGTGAAAAAAGTTTGGAGACCCCTGGGTTAGATAAACATTATATTGAAATGTAAACTAGCTCTTAGCAAAGCAGTAAACATTGTCCCGAACATGTCCCACATTTGGCTCGTTGGCACCTGGTCAGCGGCGCCGCTGCAGGCGATGTTGGTCACAGTTCTTCCGTCTGCAGACACTCTTTGGGGATTTGTGGCAAATGTGGGGATGAGTGGTGCTGCGGTAGAAACTGTGAGAATGAGCCCAGGTGTAGTCAGGGTGTGTGAGGGAGGGGGGGGGGGAGTCACAAAGCATGGAGATCTGATTGTCCAAAGAGAGAACGTGAGATTAAAATAGGTCCAAGAGAATAATGCATGACGAAGAAGAGCCAAAGTTAGGGTGAGGGTCATGAGCTCCAGTAACTCCAGATGAATGCATCTTTAACAGGTTGCAGTAACTCAGTGGTTAGATCAGGCTGCCCATAATCAGTGGGAATGTGGCTTTGAATCCTTTGCATGGCAGTAGCTACAATTCAGATCAGATAAAAGAGATTATTTTTAAATAAACCTTAGTGCAAAAGCATTTATACCGTCATATAGAAATGTATGAATGCAGTATAACCAGTGTTAGAAGATGTGTGAAGGGATGTTGGTAGGACTTTATTTAAAAAGTCATTTCATATTTTGGTTTCATCCTTTTTGTGTGTTGCACTTTGTAGACGCTGCAGAGAGAAGACGCATAGCTCAGTGGTCAGAGCTGACAGACAGCAACCAGTGGGATGTGGGTCTGAATCCTGAGCCTGGCAGACACACTCCCACTGAATCTCTCTGTCCAAAAATTGGAGTGCAAAACAACCCTGCTCTTCCAGATTGAACCTATTTTACGTAAATGACTTCATACCTAAATAAATGTATGAATGTTTTATCAATTTGGGTTTGAATCCCGAGCCTGGCAGTACTTTTCAGACCCCACTTCCTCCCTCTTTCAACACTTTATCTGCAAATATATCTCTTGTCAAAAACACATCTTTATTTAAAAGAAGAATTCATGTATAACCATCAGGGGCCGATAGAAGGTGTCGTATCGCTCAGTGGTCAGAGCTCAGTGTTGTTGTGGGGATGTGGGTCTGAATCCTGAGCCTGGCAGATCCACTGAATCTCCAGTAAAATCTCTCTTTCCAAACTCATAACTTGACAAAAAACTTGAGTGGGAAACACACTACTGTCCATCAAATGGTAATGATTGTATGTATTACTTAATACTTAATTCAACAGACTGTTCATGGTTTGTCCTCGTTCGTTGCTGCTTTCTGTTATTTAGTTAGGTTTGTTTTCTGTTTTTTTTAAATGTCTGTATGACGTTGCTTTTGTCGGGGCCCCTTGAGAACGAGATGGTGCATCTCAGGAGGTTTATCCTAATAAATACATTTCAAATAAATATCTGCTCTTCCAGATGATGTTGTGCGTAGACGGCTCTGCTAAGATTGTTCCCTAGTTTAGGTTTCATGTTATGTTTAGATAGGTTCCTGTTTTATTTTGATAGTCTTGTCCACCCTCATGTGTCTAAAGTACGTTTCCTGCCTTGTCTGTTTTCCCACGGTTGTGATTGTCTAATTGTCTTCACCTGGTGTTGTCTGTCTAGTATATATAGTTCTCGTCTTCCCCTGTCTCGTTGCCAGATTGTCTTGTGTGTTCCAAGCCTTCCAGCGTAAGATCCTTTTGTCATTGTCCATAGAGTTAGATTAGTGTATTAGTAGTTTTTGTTTTGTTGCTTTATGTATTCAGTGTGTTATGACCTGTCTACATTAAAACACTTTATTTTGATACTTTGTTTGTCTCTGCATCGTACATTTGATTCCACGCCCTTGTACAGCCCTAACAGATGAAGCATTTTTTAAACTTATTTTATGTAAATTAATTCATACCTTCAAAACATCTTAGTTTTAGGTTCAAATCCCGAGCATGGCAGTACACTTCAGACCCCACTACCTCCCTCTCATATCTGCAAACATATCTCTTGTCAAAAGCATATCTTAAATCATAAAAGATTATTCAAAATTAAATGTATTTTATTTTTTTATATTATTGGCTTTGATTTGATAGAAATGAGGTTGAACCTCCTTGTTTACCTTACTGTGGTTGTTAAGAGGTTTGTGTTTCGGGAACGATTTGTGTTTAGGCTATTGATCCGTCCATATCTTTCAAAATAAACCTCACAATGGAAAGCTAGTCTTATCAGTAAAGTCTCTGAGAGGGAATTACAGCCTGTCTCTACGGCCTCTCTTGTAATTCACACGACATCTTACAATATGTGGCTATCATCAAGTGTTGTTTGTTCGCTAAACACATCCATGCTTTTAACAGACGAGGCCTTTTATTTTGAAATGATTTCCTAGCCAGTAAGCTTTTAAGGTAAAAAACTAAAACCAAAGAAATATTGCAGTTGCTTTTCCGATTACTGGTATCAGAAAGAAAGACGATTGAAACGAAGGTACTACAGAATATATTAAAAATGATAATATTAAACAAATCTTTTTTTTAAATTGAATAAAAAACATGAAAAATATATTAAAAAATATAAAAAATTAAATGTCAATAAATGAATTTTTATACATTAAAATAATAAAATATATAAAGAAATGTACTTTGACAAAAAATACAACGTTTACATTTTTATTCAAATAATTACAAGAAATTGCAATACATATCATTGTAATACTCAGATAACAGTAGTAGCTCTTAAATACCTACACACTTTAACTTAAGTAAGGGTTTTAATGCAGGATGTTTACTTGCTGTATGTCTATTTCTATCTTACTGAATATCATCCTGTATGTTCACATTCCTCTGATGAGGCTGGTCATGAAACAAAGGGAGGAGGAGCTGCAGACAGGTGAGGCTGTTCAAGTTAAAGAATGAAGTCAGACTGCCAGACGCAATTTTACACTTCGACAGAGAGGAGGACGACAACAGGGTGAGTGTTAACACCAGGCTCTGCTTTATAACACATTATTTACTTAAACTGATTTCAGAACATAACTTCTTGACAAAAAATCAGCGTCCTAGAGTCCAATGAGACTTCTGCAACTGTTGTAAAGATTTTTCAATTACCTGGTTTCTGATTCATCTGAGTTACATAACATGTGACAGCCCAGCACAGTCAACATGTAGCGGCCTGTCTGAAGTCTGACTGATTGTTCTATTTTGTGTGTCTCCAGTGTTACTGGTTTATCTCTCAGACTGGAGAAGATGAGTGATTTAAAAGATGAGGAAGAGGACAGATCTTCTGTCTCCAGCTGTCTGTCTCTGAAGAGTGAGCGGTCTAAAGGATTACCTCCAGTCTTCAGTGATGAACCTGGACCCTCGGACACAAAGTAAGTCTGTTTCTACTGTAAACTGACCCGAAGAGGATTCAGTTTATGTTACCTGATAATAACCTCTTCTTTATTAACTACATGAGCACACCCAGTAATAATCACAGTTGTTTACAGCAAAGAAACACATTTGAAGTCAGTAAAGAAGCAAAGCAGATTACAGTAAAAGTAAAATACAGTTAAAACGCAGTACAGTAAAGAAACACGGTGGCCATCATTTGTTTTCACATTGCAATGAATCTTTAAGGATGATCAGTCAATGGCTTTTTTGCAATGGTGTTCAAGTATTATGAACCTGTTATAAAACGGTTTTAAAATGACCATCATGAGGAAATTATAATATTGATATGTACTTATTTAAAAAAAATGTTGTCCAACAAAAGTTATGTGCGTTATCCGGGCGGACGGCCCACGGGCAAGGCAGAGGCAGGGAAAGGGGTGTCGGATGGACGTTGTTGTTGTTCCATAATCACTTATCACGTAACCTCTGAGACCTCACTGATCTCCATTTGAGGCAATGTGAAATACCCTTCCTCACATGACTTGACATATTTGAAACGTACAAGGTCATATTTAAAAGATCCCAAGGGCTATATGCACGTCACTTTGAATTAGTCATCTGTGACGCCACTTTTCTTTTTACACCAACTTTCATGCAAATCGGAGCAACTTTATTTTTGACCTGTTTTTCAGGAAGAGCCCAGTCTTCAGAGATGAGTTTGAAAAGGTCCAAAATCTAAGTTTCTCCAATCATCTCGAAATTCTGCAAACTCAATCCATGGGCTGGAGGCATGAGACAGTTCAAGTATCAGCTTCCTGGCCCATTGCAATGTTGAAGTATAGGCCTTTACATTTCATATACATTTCTGCAGGGTCTTGGGTACTTCAAATACCCGAGATCCTGCAGTCATGTATTTGAAGTGGACAAGGTCATATATCCAAGATGCCAAGGGATACGTGCAAGTCATTTTGAAATACTCATCTGTGGGACCACTTTTCATCTCGGGAATAGGTCCACTAATACCATGGGTTATATGCAGGACACAGTTCAACTATCAGCTTCCTGGCCAATTGCAATGTTGAGATATGGCCTTGTTCACTTCAAATACATAACTGCATCTTCTCCAGTATTTGAAGTATACTGGATAAACTTGGTATGCCCAAATGTGTGCGGTTAAACAAGCGGCTGACACAGGTTTTCTCTGGAGGGTGGCTGGCATCTCCCTTAGGTATAAGATGAGAAGTTTAGTGATCCGGGAGGGTGACTTAGCTGATCCTTCGTGTAGAAAAGAGCCAGTTGAGGAGGTTCGGGCAGTAAGGAAGCCACCTGACCGACTCCCTAGGGAGGTGTTCAGCTCGCAGGAGACCGAGGGACAGTTCCAGGACCTGGTGGAGAGATTTAACTCCACACTTGGGAACTTAACTTCGAATAAGCGGTGGAAAAAGGATTAAAACCTCAAAACAGAACTTTATTCCTTATTGTACCATTGGTTAAAATCGTCCACCACTAATGTAAAGTGCTATAAAGGATGTGTTCATCTATACAGAGAGAAGAGGAAACGTCCTGTTCCTGTGGAGGAGCAGCTGTTCAGCTGTGCTCTGTGTCAGGGCGTCCTGAAGGATCCAGTCTCTGCCAGCTGTGGACACTGGTTCTGCAGACAGTGCATCACCTCATACTGGGAGCAGCCAACTCCATCAGGAGACTCCTGCTGTCCCCAGTGTGGAGAAAGATGCAGTATTATACAAAGTAAGTCTTGTAGTGCCGAGAGACGGGAGTCGGAGGCGGGGTATCAAAGGTACAAGCTAGACTTTTATTTAGCATCAGAACAACATGTAAACAGCTTCAAGCCCGGGAAGCGAAGACCGGCGGAAACAGGAAGTCCGGTTAACTAAAATATCCGTGCGGAACAATACCCCAACCCATAGATCCGTGGGTGAATAATGTCAATCACCACACAAGCCCCCCCAGAATTCACCCATAGTCAAAATCCTCGTGCCTGGGAGGAAGTACCACCCGACCCCGGCGCGTACGGACCACAGGGGCCGAGGAGGGCGGGGCCGCAGGCGAGGGCAGGGGCGCCAACGAGGGCGAGGGCATCCCCACAGGGGGCGGGACATTGGAGGGCGGTCAGAGGAGAGGTCAGACGGGGTCCCGAAGCGCGCCACCCACGTGCCGATGAAAGCGCGGGCGACGTCGGAAGCTGACGTTGAGGCGAGGGGAACGGCCTCGGGCCAGCGGGTCGTCCTGTCCACCATCGTAAACAGGTAGATGAAACCGTGAGAGGGGGGAAGCGGACCTACAAGGTCGACAATGGCATGGTCAAACCTCCTCTCAGGAACCGCAAAAAGTTCAAAAGGGGCCCTAGTATGGCGGTGGACCTTAGCCCGTTGACAGGCCACACATGAGTCGACCCAGGACCTCACGTCCTTCTTAAGCCCCTGCCACATCAACTTCTGCGACACCAACTTCACGGACGGCTTCCTACCGGGGTGGGAAAGATTGTGAACCGCCTCAAAAACGGGTCGGCTCCAGTCCGTTGGGACTAGCGGTCGAAGCTGGCCCGTGGAGATGTCACACCACAGCTCCGACCGTGACCTCCTCCAGTCGTAATCCCGTGACCGAGGCCTTGAGGGTCTGGACCCCGTGGTCAGAGGCCTGGTCAGCGCCCATGCGGAGGTAATCGAGGCCCAGCTGCACAGCTCCGATGACCGCTCTGGAGAGGCAGTCCGCGACTACGTTAGCCTTGCCAGCGATGTGTCGTATGTCCGTGGTGTACTCGGAGATGTACGAAAGCTGGCGTTGCTGTCGGGCAGACCACGGCTCAGTCACCTTGGACATGCAGGAAGTAAGAGGCTTGTGATCCACGATACGCCGCAAACTCCTGGCCTTCCAGCAGGAAACGGAAGTGGCGAACCGCCAAATAGAGACCAAGGAGTTCCCTGTCGAAAGCCTTGTACTTGCGCTCCCTGGGAGTCAACTGGCGGCTGAAAAAGACGAGCGGCTGCCAGGCGCCGTCGACCCATTGCTCATGCACCGCGCCCACAGCGTAGTCAGACGCGTCAGTGGTGATAGCGATGGGGGCCCTGTGTGACGGGTGAGCCAACATGGCGGCTTCACTCAGGGCGGCTTTGGTGGCATCGAAAGCGGCCTCCCTTTCAGCCGTCCAGTCTATGGCCTGGCCGGGGGACTTGTCCTCGAAGGGCCTCGTACAGCGGGGGCATTGGCGGATGAACCGGTGATAAAACGTCACCATCCCGAGGAACTCTCGGAGCGCTCGAGCTGTAGCAGGTCGTGGAAAGGCGGACACGGCCTCCGCCTTCGACGGGAGGGGGGCGGCTCCATTCTTGCTGATGAGATGCCCGAGGAAATGGATGGAGGACAACCCGAACTGACACTTTGCCGGGTTGAGAATCAGGCCGTGTTGGTTGAGCCTCGCGAAAAGGACACGGAGATGTGCCTGGTGCTCTTCAGAGGAGGAGCGACCAGGATGTCGTCTAAATAGACGAAGATGAATGGCATGTCTCTGAGCGCTGAATCCATCAGCCGCTGAAACACTGAGCTGCGTTCTTAAGTCCAAACGGCATACGCAGGAACTCGAAAAGCCCGAACGGCGTAATCACCGCAGCTTTGGGGACGTCCGAGGGGTGCACCGGAACCTGGTGGTAGCCGCGCACCAGATCCACCTTGGAGAAGACCAACTTGCCCGCCAGCTGTGCAGAGAAGTCCTGGATGTGAGGGACCGGGTAGTGGTCTGGCGTAATGGCGTCGTTAAGGCGGCGGCAGTCACCACACGGGACCATGTGGAGCGGCGAAGCCCAAGGGCTGCCTGAGCGGCGGATGATGCCCAGACGCTCCATGATGACGAACTCTGACTTTGTGACTGCCAGCATGTCAGGGTTGAGCCGCCGAGCCCTAGCGTAGACTGGGGGGCCTTCAGTGTCAATGTGGTGCTCTACCCCGTGTTTGGAAGTGGCAGCGGAAAAGGTGGGCTGCGTCAAGCCGGGAAACTCACTGAGAAGGTGCTGAATCTTGTCACCCTGTGAGTGAGCTGGAGAGCCCGCTGAATGACGCCTCGCCGCCGGTAAATGCGAACGAGACAAACGTCAGTGCGTCCACCAGGCGGCTGTTCTTGACGTCCACCAGCAGTCCGTGAGCGCACAGGAAGTCTGCGCCGAGGAGGGCGAAGGAGATGTCAGCCGTGACGAAATCCCACTTAAACCGCCGACCCCCGAAACACAGGTCCACTGTCTTTGTGCCATAGGTGCGAATAGGGGTGTCGTTAGCGGACGTTAAAGGTGGGCCGTGGCCCCCACCGGCGGCGTCCACTACCGTAGCCGGCAGGACGCTCCGCTGGGCTCCTGTGTCACAAAGGAGTCTGCGACCAGAGAGAGTGTCCCTGATTAACAGGAGCCGGTTGGATGTGCAGGGGGGATGGCATATCCTCGCTTTCGCCCCGAAGCGTGCATGGTATGAACACAGGCCAGGGCTGGAGTCGCTGACGTCGGCTCCGGAGCTTCTGCTAGGTGGCATGCCTCTACCAGGGAAGGTGCCGCTGCGTGTCGGGGCCAGCACCTCAGGGGCAAAACGCTGGGTGGCCAGGAAGAACCGGTCGGCTTCTTCAGCTAAAGCGCGGGGCTCAGTGATAGCCGTGTTAGCGAGCGCCGTCTGAACATGCGGCGGCATGTGCCGAAGAAACAGTTCTATGAACAAAAAATGGGGTTCTTCCGTACCTAGCAGGCTGAGCATCATTTCCATGTGGTTGGAAGGCTTGCTGTCTCCCAGGCTATGAATAGCGAGCAGACGCCGGGCTCGTTCCGACCGTGACAGCTCAAAAGTCTTTAGCAGGAAAGCCTTGAACGCAGCATATTTATCCTGGGCAGGGGGAGATGTAATAAAGCCCACCGTCCGGGTTGCAGTGGAGCTTCCCCGTGCTGAAACGACGTGAAAATAGCGTGCTGCGTCATCAGTTACTCTGCGGAGGGCGAACTGAGCCTCCGCCTGAGCTAACCATGCAGCCGCAGATGTCTCCCAAAACTCTGGCAGTTTGAAAATAACGGCGTTATTTGCCATGCTCGGTTCAGTCTTGGATCCTTCTAAGAGACTTACGTCGGAGTCACCAATGTAGTGCCGAGAGACGGGAGTCGGAGGCGGGGTATCAAAGGTACAAGCTAGACTTTTAATTAGCAACAGAACAACATATAAACAGCTTCAAGCCCGGGAAGCGAAGACCGGCGGAATCAGGAAGTCCGGTTAACTAAAATGTCCGTGCGGAACAATACCCCAACTCATAGATCCGTGGGTGAATAATGTCAATCACCACAGTCTCAACATATTTCTGCTGATGTCTTCATTTCTGAAAAAAGAATTCTTCCTGTTAATTGTTTTTGTGATTTTTAACCACTTCAATTTATCTCACTCTTCTTCTCTTCCAGCAGATAGTGGTCTGCAGAAGGTTTTAGATGAACATAGGCTCAGTCTGAGGAGGAGATGTGAACGTGTGACTGAAGGAACTGATCAAAGTGAAACCCTCCTCAACAGCATCTTCACTGAGCTCTACATCACACAAGGCCAGAGTGAAGAGGTTAATACCCAACATGAGGTGAGGCAGCTGGAGACAGCTTCCAAGAAGAAGCCCCTCCATGACACTCCAATCAAGTGCCAGGACATCTTTAAAGCCTCACCTGACCAACAGACTCCCATCAGAGCGGTCCTGACCAACGGAGTCGCTGGAGTTGGAAAAACCTTCTCAGTGCAGAAGTTCACTCTGGACTGGGCCGAGGGTTTGGAAAACCAAGATGTCAGTCTGGTGATCCCGCTCTCCTTCAGGGAGCTGAACCTGATCAAAGGTGAGCAGTACAGTCTTCTCAGGCTGCTCCATGTTTTCCATCCAACCTTACAGAAGGTCACAGCAGAGCAGCTGGCTGTCTGCAAAGTGCTGCTCATCTTTGACGGCCTGGATGAAAGCAGACTTTCTCTGGACTTCAGTAACAATGAGGTTGTGTCTGATGTCTCACAGCAGTCCTCAGTGAACGTGCTGCTGACAAACCTCATCAGGGGGAAGCTGCTTCCCTCGGCTCTCGTCTGGATAACTTCCCGACCTGCAGCGTCCAATCAGATCCCTCCTGAGTGTGTGGACAGGGTAACAGAAGTACGAGGCTTCACTGACGCCCAGAAGGAGGAGTACTTCAGGAGGACATCGAGTGATGAAGGCCTGTCCAGCAGAATCATCTCTCACATCAAGGGCTCCAGGAGCCTCCACATCATGTGTCTGATCCCAGTCTTCTGCTGGATCACTGCTGCAGTTCTGGACCACATGTTGACTACAGACCAGAGAGGAGAGCTGCCCCAGACCCTCACTGACATGTACTCACACTTCCTGCTGGTCCAGACCAAGAGGAAGAAGCAGAAGTATGAAGAGGGACATGAGACGAGTCCACAGCAGCTGACGGAGGCTGACAGGGAGGTTCTTTTGAAGCTGGGGAGGCTGGCGTTTGAACATCTGGAGAAAGGAGACATCATGTTCTACCAAGAAGACCTGCAGCGCTGTGGTCTTGATGTCACCGAGGCCTTGGTGCACTCAGGAGTATGTACAGAGATCTTCAAAAGAGAGAGTGTGATCTTCCAGAAAACAGTCTACTGCTTTGTTCATATGAGCATTCAGGAGTTTCTGGCTGCAGTCTACATGTTGCACTGTTACACCAACAGAGACACAAAGGTAACGAAGGACTTCCTGCAGGGAGACTGGGACGAAGAAAGTGATAGCAGTAATCCGGATTACCCATCCCTGGATGTCTTCCTGAAGAAAGCCATGGAGAAATCCCTCAGAAGTCAAAATGGCCACCTGGACCTGTTTGTCCGCTTTCTCCACGGCCTCTCTCTGGAGTCCAGCCACAGACTCTTAGGAGGCCTTCTTGGTCGCACAGACATCCGTCCAAAAATCATCCAGAGACTCTTCAGAGGCCAGCTGGGTCGCAAAGAAATCCAGAGAGCCATCAAGAACCTGAAGGAGATGAGCAGTGATGAAATCTCTCCTGACAGGAGCATCAACATCTTCCACTGTCTGACTGAGATGAAGGACCACTCAGTACATCAGGAGATCACAAAGTTCCTGAAATCAGAGAACAGATCAGGGAAGAGACTCTCTGAGATCCAATGCTCAGCTCTGGCCGACATGCTGCAGATGTCAGAGGAGGTTCTGGAGGAGTTGGACCTGAAGAAGTACAACACATCAGCGGAGGGAAAACGGAGACTGATTCCAGCTGTGAGGAACTGCAGGAAGGCTGAGTGAGTCCACATGCGATTAACTTCATAAATTAGTCCAGATAAGAAGTTTACGTCTTCAAATAAACACTATATAAATTATGCTGTTTCTAATACTGTGAGAGCAAAAGGGATCCATAATGACGCACATTGTTAATCAGAACATGATGGGTCTACTGTTTTCATCAAATGCATGATGTTCATATAATCTTCTTATGAAAAACTCACTCTGTAATATCTGTCCTGACAGACTAACTTCCTGTGGACTCTCAGAGACTCACTGTGAAGTCGTGGCCTCAGCTCTGAAGTCTGACCCCTCCCATCTGAGAGATCTGGACCTGAGTTACAACAAGCTGCAGGATTCAGGAGTGGAGCTGCTGAGTTCTGGACTAAAGAGTCCAAACTGCAGACTGGAGACTCTCAGGTCAGTTCACTGACTGCAGTTCATACGGTTCATTTTTCTTTTAAAAAATGTGCCCGAGAACAGGACTTTGTTCATGTTGTTATGTTTTTTCAAATGGTTGAGTATCTAGCAGAATAACAAAGATCAGAGAAGGTGAATGTGTGACGGACAGTGTTTGAGCTTCCACAGACTCACACTGTGCTCCATGAGTCGGTGAAGATGCTGTCAGTACTGATGAGCTGTGAGGGAGAGGAAGGAGTTGTTAAAGATCTGATGAGAGAGAAAAACTGCTGCAGAGTTTGAGCTTGGATTATCATGGATCTACATCTTTCTAGACTCTGACATCTAAACCTTCCTCAGCTCTGAACAGATTATTAAACCTTGAAACGTACATCATGTTTTCTTTATTCAGACTGTGGGGCTGCATGTTGTCAGAGATCAGCTGTTCTGCTCTGATCTCTGCCCTGAAGTCCAACCCCTCCCATCTGAGAGATCTGGACCTGAGTAACAACAAGCTGCAGGATTCAGGAGAGAAGCTGCTGAGAGATCTTCTGGAGAGTCCAGACTGCAGACTGGAGACTCTCAGGTCAGTTCCCCATCTTTTACTTCTGTGCTGAGATTAAGGCGAGACACGGCAGGCAAAAACATCGTTTTTCATGCACTGGTCAATTTTGAGATGTTGTGCTATTTTGATTCTATAACATGTTTTCTTTCAGACTTTTGGAAGGAAAACGTACAAAATACACATTTAAGTGTTTATTTTACTATAGTTTGTCTATTTGCGTCTGTAGATTTCTCCTAAATTCACCAAAAGTTAGCATTCTAACGTAACATAAAGTACCGCGACCGCTGTGTGCACCATGTCAACAGAGGTATCGCTGGAAAGCTCCGTCTCTCCTGCACAATCTCATCGGATCCAAATATGGTCATTTCCTTTGTATCAGCAACCATTTGTGAAAGCACAAAGGGTTCTTAAACCAAGAAACGAAATCTCATTTGCTGGTGTCAATTTCTGACAACGTGATTTCGTTCAGATGCGTCACGTGATGTGCTAAAACACTTCCGGGTTAGCTTTCCGCTAGAAATTTAAATCTCAAAATGGCAAAAGAACGGCGAAAAAAACGTTCACAGAGAAGACGACAACAATTGTCTGCGTTGGTGCGCTGGGCTAATGCTAATAATGCTAATGCGAGCAAATAAAATGCCGGCTTCACAAAAACTTTTCTGAGTCTTACGGGGCGTGGTTTGCAATTCGCCCAGCCAATCAGAAATTGAAACCTTTTCCTCCCCAGGAAAGTACCACCTCTCTAGCAGGGACTGAAAAGGGGTGAAAATGTTCCCGAAAAAAAGTTATTGTTCCAGATCTTTTTGGTCCCAGGCATAGGCGGCGCGTGAGGCTCAAGTTTGGGAAGGCTAAATAACTTTCTTTTACCTGACGCTGCCCGCCTCCGGCGTCTATAGAAAAGAGATCAACTCAGTGAAAGCACCGCCTGCTGACCAATCAGAGCTCAGTGGGCAGAGTTTAAATCTATCAAGTCATATTACAGGATAAAGGAAATACAGTTTAAACTGCCGTTGCAGAGAAGACGCCGACGTGTCGCACACCAGGCACTTATCATTCATATCACATCATCAATCAGATCATCGATCATATAATATCACAATATTTCCTTATCCGAGTCAGCTTCTCGAGCCGTATCTGGCCGTGCAACACTTACATTGTCACATATACTGTATGCAGACATATTATTTTAAGCAGCACATTAAGTTGACGAAACACTCAACTCAAATGTAATTAAAGTCAGATCCACTCGTGTCTTATGGGGCAGTATCATAAAACTGTTGTACACTTTCAAACACTCGGTAGTTTATTTATTTTTTAACGAGTTGTTCTGTATTCTCCTTGCAGGTGCAACTATGTGGCTTGTATACTGGATTATATGTTTAAGTCATGGAGGTTTAAAGCTCATATTTGTCTAATATTAGTTTACTTTTCATTAATGAAGTATGACGCTGCGCTGTCAGTACACTTATCCCTGTTTGTGATTGGTCAAATGTAGCTAACCCCGCCCCTTTCACGTGAACGCGCTCTCAGCTGGAGAGAGAAACCCTGGCTTGATTTACCGAGTTGATAACCAGCGTCGTAGGACCGCTCGTTTGTTAGAGTTAGTTAAGATAACTCAAACATATCCAGGGTCTGTTGAACTGGCTTCGTAGTACAGTTTACTGGTGGCTGCATAGCAGCGCTAATGTCAAAGACACAAACATTATACATTATATTTTTATTTTACCAGGATGCAGTGACACAAATATTTGGGAAGGCTTAGCCTTCCCTAGCCTACAGTACCCGCCGCCCCTGGTCCCAGGAACTATCGGAACTATTCCTGGGAAAAGTACTCCGTTGTGAAAGCGCCTATAGTCTACTTTCTTCTTCTGTGGTTTAGTTCACTGACTGTGGCAGAGCCATGTTGATCATTACATTTAAAAAATAACAAGAAAAATCCTCCACTGCATAAGTCACTCTGAACCTCTTAAACACCTGAAATTCATCTTACAGTCTTAATACAGATTTTAATAAATGATATAAAAGACAAATTAATAAATGTTTCTATTTAAACTATCAACAATAAAGATTATATTCAGTATTTGCCTTTTCCAATATTTTTCTGAAGCTCCATGATGCTGACTGAATAGTTTAAACTTACATCATGTATTCCTTATTCAGTCTGTGGAGCTGCAGTTTGTCAGAGATCAGCTGTGCCGCTCTGGCCTCAGCTCTGAAGTCTGACCCCTCCCATCTGAGAGATCTGGACCTGAGTTACAACGATCTGCAGGATTCAGGAGTGAAGCTGCTGAGTTCTGGACTAAAGGCTCCAAACTGCAGACTGGAGACTCTCAGGTCAGTTCACTGACTGTTGTTTATATAGATTTGTTGTGTTTAAAAATGTGCCTGAGAACAAAGAATCTCTGTATGGTTCGTTTTTTGGTTATTCCGTTTCAAAACCAAATAGGAAAAATAAAAAAACACAGTTTTTTAGTTTGTGTGAGTCTGTGGAAGCTGAAAAACGTTATTCTGTTTTTCAACCAAAACAGGAAAACAGATAAATCAACATTTTTTAATCTTTGTATCTTCGGACCATTAGTTTTTCTAACCCTAACTCTGCACACTAGAAAGTATATTGTGCGCACAAGATACTTTTTTGTTTTGTTCATGACCCAAGTTTAGGGGCTCCGTAGTTACCACTACATTTAAAAAATATATAATAAATGGTAACTGATGTCCATTGTTTTTAAACCAAATCAGAAAAACAGATAAATCAACTTTTTGGTTTTGTTTGTATGATTTACGGATAATCCAGTGAATTCTGGGGAAATGTGAAGACAAATCTTTTATACTTACAAACATGCAACAAGGAATAGTGACAAAGAACTAGTTTACTTCCATGGGCGCAGGGTTAGAAACACAAATGGTCCGAAGATACACGGATTCAAAAAACGTTGATTTATCTGTTTTCCCATTTTGGTTTAAAAACAGAATAACGTGTTTGAGCTTCCACAGACTCACACTGTGCTCCGTGAGTCGGTGGAGATGCTGTCAGTACTGATGAGCTGTGAGGGAGAGGAAGGAGTTATTAAAGATCTGATGAGAAAAACTGCTGCAGAGTTTGAGCTTGGATTATCATGGATCTACATCTTTCTAGACTCTGACATCTAAACCTTCTTCAGCTCTGAACAGATTATTAAACCTTGAAACTTACTTCATGTATTCTTTATTCAGACTGAGTGGGTGCAGGTTGTCAGAGATCAGCTGTTCTGCTCTGGCCTCAGCTCTGAAGTCCAACCCCTCCCGTCTGAGAGATCTGGACCTGAGTCACAACGCTCTGAAGTATTCAGGAGTGAAGCTGCTGAGAAATCTTCTGAAGAGTCCAGACTGCAGACTGGAGACTCTCAGGTCAGTAAGGGGTCTCTCTCTTTTGTGTTGGGGGGTTGATGTGTTCTCACACTGAACCTCCAGTTCTTCCTTCCAGACGTAGCCTAGCTTAGCACAACTCATAATGCTACCCATTCACTGCAGTTTCTTATTTATTTATTTTCGTTATTCCACCAACATTGTAATGTGAGCTTAAAATACAAATCCACATTTTTGTAAGTAAGCTACTTTTTAATGGATGTACAGGATTTTACAGAGGAGTGAGTCTGCTTGGTTCTCCTGTAATGCTTTTGTTTCTAGACTAATGAGCAGTTATGTCCTGTTAGTTGAGAGCTGAGGCAGTCAGTCGTAGTGTTTGCAGAGAAGAGATGATGTAAAGCAGGAGATCAGTCAGGACTCTGAAGCTGACTCAAAGCACAAACGCTTATTTTAACCCATAACTGTTGGGTTGTGTTCATCCCTACAGGATCAATGACGAGACGATCAGAGCCAAGAAACAGAAGAGATGTGAGTATTGAAACCATATTCATCAGGCTATCCTACATTAAAGTCTGATCTTAAAATGAAAACATGTATCTACTCCATCTTGTTTCCGCTCAGCTCTCTTCAATCACTTTAGCTGCCAATGTTTCTCTCTGCTGATGTTTGATTATTATTATTCTTTCAGGAGACTCGGGTGTCAAACAGGAAGTGAAAACTGGATCAACTGACGGTATAATTTCCGTAAAGCAACAATCAATTTCACTTAAGGCTTTTCTTACAAATAAAGATGTAGAGAAGAAACATAAATATACACCGATCAGCCATAACATTATGACCACCTGCCTAATATTGTGTAGATACTCTTTTGCCTCCAAAACAGCCCTGACCCGTGGAGGCATGGACTCCACTAGACCTCTGAAGGAGTGTGATATCTGGCACCAAGACGTTAGCAGCAGATCCTTTAAAGTTCTCCTATCATGCAAAATGCACTTTTTGACGTATTTTATACATAAATATGTGTCTGTATCAGAAAGACAGTGTCCATTCATGCTTTGAAAACAAAAACATTACAGTCGCCGTTAAAAAATAAAACGAAAGTACACAGACCTTTAGCAAAAGATGCATTTTATTTCAATGCATTATTCATTTAGGTGCACCATTAATAAGATGCTTTATCTGGAAGCTTCACCCCAGCAACAAACTGTTCTGTAGCATCAGGACTAAAACCACCAGACTCAGAGACAGTTTCATCCCACAGGCAATAAGACTGTTAAACACCTGAACTCTTTAAAGGTTGTGTGTTCAGAAGGTTTCTCTGCATGTAAACGGTCTGCAGAGTCACAAACCCTCAAAGTGCACCCTGTAGCGAGCAGTGGCGTTTTCTCCCGGAGGCCAAGGGAAGCCAGGCTTCCCCTGTTTTTTCGGATTGTAGTTATAATTTAAATAAATAAATAAAAACACTTTGTTTTGTTTCGATAATTCTCCTTTGCTGTGTGTTGCTGCCGGCCCGTCTCTCCCCCATTCTCATTGAGTATTTTACAAAGAGTGAAACAAACAGCACCCCTCTAGATGTTATGGTGAAACAGTAGATTGCACTCTCTGTTGCGAGAGGAGGCCAGCCGAATCTGGCTTCCCTTGGTGAAAAAAAATGGAGGGATTGACCAATCAGATGAGGCCCACGTGATGCCCCTGCCAACCTGTGATTGGTCAGGACCTTGCCAAGGGAAGCCAGCCGCCTCTTGCTTCCCTTCAGAGGCGGCTGGCGGCTGGCGATTTGATTGGACACTGCCATCCAATCAAATCACATCAACATCAGTTTTAATACTGTCATCACCGCCGTTAGAAATTATCAAGCAAATGAAGCATTATGGAGGGTGGAGATTTGGCGTACTTAATCAAACATAACTTTACTAAACTTCCGCTACAGCAGCAACTAAAAATTAAATCAGATGACAGGCCAATGCCCACACTCGAGCTGTGTGTACACAGAGGAAAAAGGGAGAGAATCGGATGTTCAATGAGAACAATTATGTCCGCACGGAGTGGCTAACTGGAAACGCTAAACTTCAGCGTCTATTTTGCTGGCCATGTCTTCTTTTTGACAAGGATTCGTGCTCCCTGAACAATCCTTGGGCAACTTCAGGATTCATCGACCTTGCCAACCTGTCACGGGCAATTGAGAGGCACGGTAAATCCAAAAATCACATAGATTGTGTGATTGTCTGCATACATTAATAAGTAAAATGCTTAAATTAATAAGGAGAGAGTTTCAGCTGGAGAGTGCGTGCGGACCTTTCGGTTAGATAACAGGCGTGTGCAAGTCCTGCATCTGTGTGATACAAATGTGTGTCAAACGATACCGGGCGCTGTAATCACTCCTCTGGTTACGTTATTGACCACCCGCCCGACCCAAAAAATGGGCTTCCCCTACATTTCCCCCCACGCCACGCTACTGGTAGCGAGTAAAGCTCTATCACAGAGAAGACCTGTCTGTGCTGCCCCAGAACGCCTCGTTGGACATTTCTCTTTTTCCATTTGTTTCTTCCCGGAACCAAAATGGACCAATCCGCGGAGCTCCTCACACACCAGGATCTTTAGCGTAAATGTTCAACTATCAGGGAGTCCCATTGACTTGCATAGAGCTCCCTGGTTGGTAACAGACGAGTTGGGATGGTGGAGGAACGCTCTCCGCAGACCCATTCTCACAGCGTTATAAACCTTTTTCCTTCTCAATATCAAGCCATACTTATTGTTTTTACTTCGGCTGTGAGTGTGTGTGTGTGTGCTCAGGATGAGTTTCGCTGTGTCTCGCTGTTTCGCCGACCCGGAAACCACACCAGTAAGCCAGCTCGCTGAGCAGCGAGCCTTGCAACGTCCCGACCAATCAGAGCACACTGGGCTCACAGGGAGGGGGGGGGGGGGGGGGCAGGAGCTCCAACAAGCCGTTTAGGACAGAGAGTGAATACACAGACTTTACAGAGATGCTGTGAGAAACCAATGAGAGTTTGGAACATTGATCAATGTAAATCTATTCTAGTAGACCTCAACAATGGAATTATGATCAGTAGAAATGGCCATGACATGTGACCTTTAAGAACATCCATAAACATTCATCTGTTGTCATCTTACCATGTATTTATCTCAATAGTTATCACCGTAATAAACAGTATTTTCATCTTACTTTACAATATTACATTTTACATTCTGTTCTTGTATATCATGTTCTATTTACGTTTATATAGATTTCTTGCACTATTTTCATCGTATCTTTGATGTCTTTGTCGTGATTTATGTCTTAAGATTTCTATTGCCATCTCTACCTGTAGCTTATGTGCATTTGACAATAAAGCCTTTGAATTGATTTGTTTGTTTTGAGTGAATTGTTATTAAAAAAAGAAAGGGAAGAGTCGAGGAAACAGGGAGTGTAAATCCGGTTGGAGTCGAGAGGATTATTGCTTGTTTTAGGACGAGACTAAGTTCATAGCGTTTCTGGCCATGGTGATCAACTGGGATTGTTAGAGCCAGTATTTTGTTTTTATAAAAAGGCCAACTAATTGTGACGTTTGTAGTCAACAACATATAAAGGACTACATTTCCCACGTGCCTCCTCTAAAGAGACAGAGATGGGTCCGAAACCTGTCAGAAAGAAGCCACCGAGGCAGTTTTTAACCGTTAAGATACCGTTTAAGTTACCATTAAATGTATACATAGAAAGGAAGAAAGAAAGAGCACCTAAGTTGTTATTTTATTTGAGTTGTGTTTGATTTGTTTTGACTTTTGTAAAGGCCTGTTGTCTTTGTTACCTGTGTGAAAAGTTTGTTATTTTATTTTTAGCAAACACATTGCAAAATATCATCCAAACCATCGGAGGCCAAGCAACTCATCAACTGTGAGTTCAACAAATATAAAAGAAGGAAAACTAGTTAGAAATGTTTGTTGAAGGCGTCTCGTGGCTCGATGGAAAATAAGGAAGAAAGCCACGACTGTGCTGACGAGGCAGAAAGAAAGTCTGAGAGGATTTAACTAGTTCTGATGGTGCTGAGAGTCATCTCCTCTCAGTCTAGAGCAATTCAATTAGCAGGCTAGTTTTTCGAGATAAGAGGTTAACATATTTAGCTTTATTTACGTTTATTTATTGTCATCTTTACCTATATTAGTAGTTTGCATTAGTTTTGATAAAGGTACTTGTATTAGTTAGTTACCTTCCCAAGTAGCATGGGGACCCTTTTAGGGGGGTTCTGGAGATGTCATTGCAGTGTGTTTTGCATAGCCATTTCCATGTTGTCGTTGCTGTAGACCAGGAGTGTCCACACTTTTTTGTTAGATATATGGCCTCATAATGTCTGTTATAAGGTTGAAAAGACAATCCAATGTAGGTAAATTATTCTTGATACTTGAAAAATGCTGTAAGAAAAAAACAACATCACAGCTCTCCATAAAACTTGGCTTTTATCCAAAGGTGATTACTTCTACTTTTACTACAAGATCTGAGTACTTCTACTTTTGCTACAAGATCTGAGTACTTCTACTTTTACTACAAGATCTGAGTACTTCTACTTTTACTACAAGATCTGAGTACTTCTACTTTTACTCAAGTACAAGATCTGAGTACTTCTACTTTTACTCAAGTACAAGATCTGAGTAATTCTACTTTTACTCAAGTATAAGATCTGAATTCACTACACTGTGCTGACGAGGCAGAAAGAAAGTCTGAGAGAAGTTAACTAGTTTTTGATGGTGCTGAGAGTCATCTCCTCTCAGTCTAGAGCAATTAAATTAGCAGGCTAGTTTTTCGAGATAAGAGGTTAACATATTCACCTTTATTTATTGTCATCTTTACCTTTATTAGTATTGTCTGTTAGTTTTGAAAAGGGTAGTTTCATTAGTTATCCAGCAGTGGGCGGTAATGCAACCTCTGGAAGCCAACCGCCTCTTAGATCCAAAAAGAAGAAGAGAACGTCACGCTTCTTGAACGGTTTTCCAGTCGGTCGCTTTTAAGTGATGCACACGAGCTTCTCACCGGATGTTGATAAACGCACATGTGTTGCTGTTGAGAGTTGAAGCTGTTTCATATTCATGTAGCTGCTATAGTTTATTCATTTAAACTCAAACTCGTTGTATTAAAACCGGGATGTCTGCGTCGTTGGTCCGCAGAGGGCTGGAGCTGCTGAACGAAGACATTAAAGGTCCGTTTTAGCTTTTTATCCGTAGCTTCATAGCTAAATCACAGCTAGCGTTAGCATCCGTTTGAACAGTTCTTCTCCTCTGCTGCTGTCTTAAAATGAAATGTAAACAGAGGTTCATTTATTCCTATATTTGTCATCATCATTGAATTCCTAAATACTTTAAAAACTCCTCCAAACCAGGCTTTTTTAATGTATTTCACAGGACATTGTCTTAATATAGCCAGAATATGCGTATTATTAAAAAGTCCTCTCCTGCTGATGTTCAGGTGTATATCAGTGTGTAGTGTTTCTACTTTAAAGAGTCCTCTCCTGTTGATGTTCAGGTGTATATCAGTATGTAGTGTCTCTACTTTAAAGAGTCCTCTCCTGCTGATGTTCAGGTGTATATCAGTATGTAGTGTATCTACTTTAAAGAGTCCTCTCCTGCTGATGTTCAGGTGTATATCAGTATGTAGTGTCTTTACTTTAAAGAGTCCTCTCCTGCTGATGTTCAGGTGTATATCAGTATGTAGTGTCTCTACTTTAAAGAGTCCTCTCCTGCTGATGTTCAGGTGTATATCAGTATGTAGTGTCTCTACTTTAAAGAGTCCTCTCCTGCTGATGTTCAGGTGTATATCAGTATGTAGCATCTCTACTTTAAAGAGTCCTCTCCTGCTGATGTTCAGGTGTATATCAGTATGTAGTGTCTCTACTTTAAAGAGTCCTCTCCTGCTGATGTTCAGGTGTATATCAGTATGTAGTGTCTTTACTTTAAAGAGTCCTCTCCTGCTGATGTTCAGGTGTATATCAGTATGTAGTGTCTCTACTTTAAAGAGTCCTCTCCTGCTGATGTTCAGGTGTATATCAGTATGTAGTGTCTCTACTTTAAAGAGTCCTCTCCTGCTGATGTTCAGGTGTATATCAGTATGTAGTGTCTCTACTTTAAAAAGTCCTCTCCTGCTGATGTTCAGGTGTATATCAGTATGTAGTGTATCTACTTTAAAGAGTCCTCTCCTGCTGATGTTCAGGTGTATATCAGTATGTAGTGTCTCTACTTTAAAGAGTCCTCTCCTGCTGATGTTCAGGTGTATATCAGTATGTAGTGTCTCTACTTTAAAGAGTCCTCTCCTGCTGATGTTCAGGTGTATAACAGTATGTAGTGTCTCTACTTTAAAGAGTCCTCTCCTGCTGATGTTCAGGTGTATATCAGTATGTAGTGTCTCTACTTTAAAGAGTCCTCCTGCTGATGTTCAGGTGTATATCAGTATGTAGTGTCTCTACTTTAAAGAGTCCTCTCCTGCTGATGTTCAGGTGTATATCAGTATGTAGTGTCTCTACTTTAAAGAGTCCTCTCCTGCTGATGTTCAGGTGTATATCAGTATGTAGCATCTCTACTTTAAAGAGTCCTCTCCTGCTGATGTTCAGGTGTATATCAGTATGTAGTGTCTCTACTTTAAAGAGTCCTCTCCTGCTGATGTTCAGGTGTATATCAGTATGTAGTGTCTTTACTTTAAAGAGTCCTCTCCTGCTGATGTTCAGGTGTATATCAGTATGTAGTGTCTCTACTTTAAAGAGTCCTCTCCTGCTGATGTTCAGGTGTATATCAGTATGTAGTGTCTCTACTTTAAAGAGTCCTCTCCTGCTGATGTTCAGGTGTATATCAGTATGTAGTGTCTCTACTTTAAAAAGTCCTCTCCTGCTGATGTTCAGGTGTATATCAGTATGTAGTGTATCTACTTTAAAGAGTCCTCTCCTGCTGATGTTCAGGTGTATATCAGTATGTAGTGTATCTACTTTAAAGAGTCCTCTCCTGCTGATGTTCAGGTGTATATCAGTATGTAGTGTCTCTACTTTAAAGAGTCCTCCTGCTGATGTTCAGGTGTATATCAGTATGTAGTGTCTCTACTTTAAAGAGTCCTCTCCTGCTGATGTTCAGGTGTATATCAGTATGTAATGTCTCTACTTTAAAGAGTCCTCTCCTGCTGATGTTCAGGTGTATATCAGTATGTAGCATCTCTACTTTAAAGAGTCCTCTCCTGCTGATGTTCAGGTGTATATCAGTATGTAGCGTCTCTACTTTAAAGAGTCCTCTCCTGCTGATGTTCAGGTGTGTATCAGTATGTAGCGTCTCTACTTTAAAGAGTCCTCTCCTGCTGATGTTCAGGTGTATATCAGTATGTAGTGTATCTACTTTAAAGAGTCCTCTCCTGCTGATGTTCAGGTGTATATCAGTATGTAGTGTCTCTACTTTAAAGAGTCCTCTCCTGCTGATGTTCAGGTGTATATCAGTATGTAGTGTCTCTACTTTAAAAAGTCCTCTCCTGCTGATGTTCAGGTGTATATCAGTATGTAGTGTATCTACTTTAAAGAGTCCTCTCCTGCTGATGTTCAGGTGTATATCAGTATGTAGTGTATCTACTTTAAAGAGTCCTCTCCTGCTGATGTTCAGGTGTATATCAGTATGTAGTGTCTCTACTTTAAAGAGTCCTCCTGCTGATGTTCAGGTGTATATCAGTATGTAGTGTCTCTACTTTAAAGAGTCCTCTCCTGCTGATGTTCAGGTGTATATCAGTATGTAGTGTATCTACTTTAAAGAGTCCTCTCCTGCTGATGTTCAGGTGTATATCAGTATGTAGTGTCTCTACTTTAAAGAGTCCTCCTGCTGATGTTCAGGTGTATATCAGTATGTAGTGTCTCTACTTTAAAGAGTTCTCTCCTGCTGATGTTATGGTGTATATCAGTATGTAGTGTCTCTACTTTAAAGAGTCCTCTCCTGCTGATGATCAGGTGTATATCAGTATGTAGCATCTCTACTTTAAAGAGTCCTCTCCTGCTGATGTTCAGGTGTATATCAGTATGTAGTGTCTCTACTTTAAAGAGTCCTCCTGCTGATGTTCAGGTGTATATCAGTATGTAGTGTCTCTACTTTAAAGAGTCCTCTCCTGCTGATGTTCAGGTGTATATCAGTATGTAGTGTATCTACTTTAAAGAGTCCTCTCCTGCTGATGTTCAGGTGTATATCAGTATGTAGTGTCTCTACTTTAAAGAGTCCTCCTGCTGATGTTCAGGTGTATATCAGTATGTAGTGTCTCTACTTTAAAGAGTTCTCTCCTGCTGATGTTATGGTGTATATCAGTATGTAGTGTCTCTACTTTAAAGAGTCCTCTCCTGCTGATGATCAGGTGTATATCAGTATGTAGCATCTCTACTTTAAAGAGTCCTCTCCTGCTGATGTTCAGGTGTATATCAGTATGTAGTGTCTCTACTTTAAAAAGTCCTCTCCTGCTGATGTTCAGGTGTATATCAGTATGTAGTGTATCTACTTTAAAGAGTCCTCTCCTGCTGATGTTCAGGTGTATATCAGTATGTAGTGTATCTACTTTAAAGAGTCCTCTCCTGCTGATGTTCAGGTGTATATCAGTATGTAGTGTCTCTACTTTAAAGAGTCCTCCTGCTGATGTTCAGGTGTATATCAGTATGTAGTGTCTCTACTTTAAAGAGTTCTCTCCTGCTGATGTTATGGTGTATATCAGTATGTAGTGTCTCTACTTTAAAGAGTCCTCTCCTGCTGATGATCAGGTGTATATCAGTATGTAGCATCTCTACTTTAAAGAGTCCTCTCCTGCTGATGTTCAGGTGTATATCAGTATGTAGTGTCTCTACTTTAAAGAGTCCTCCTGCTGATGTTCAGGTGTATATCAGTATGTAGTGTCTCTACTTTAAAGAGTCCTCTCCTGCTGATGTTCAGGTGTATATCAGTATGTAGTGTATCTACTTTAAAGAGTCCTCTCCTGCTGATGTTCAGGTGTATATCAGTATGTAGTGTCTCTACTTTAAAGAGTCCTCCTGCTGGTGTTCAGGTGTATATCAGTATGTAGTGTCTCTACTTTAAAGAGTTCTCTCCTGCTGATGTTATGGTGTATATCAGTATGTAGTGTCTCTACTTTAAAGAGTCCTCTCCTGCTGATGATCAGGTGTATATCAGTATGTAGCATCTCTACTTTAAAGAGTCCTCTCCTGCTGATGTTCAGGTGTATATCAGTATGTAGTGTCTTTACTTTAAAGAGTCCTCTCCTGCTGATGTTCAGGTGTATATCAGTATGTAGTGTCTCTACTCTAAAGAGTCCTCTCCTGCTGATGTTCAGGTGTATATCAGTATGTAGTGTCTCTACTTTAAAGAGTCCTCCTGCTGATGTTCAGGTGTATATCAGTATGTAGTGTCTCTACTTTAAAGAGTTCTCTCCTGCTGATGTTATGGTGTATATCAGTATGTAGTGTCTCTACTTTAAAGAGTCCTCCTGCTGATGTTCAGGTGTATATCAGTATGTAGTGTCTCTACTTTAAAGAGTTCTCTCCTGCTGATGTTCAGGTGTATATCAGTATGTAGTGTCTCTACATTAAAGAGTCCTCTCCTGATGATGTTCAGGTGTATATCAGTATGTAGTGTATCTACTTTAAAGAGTCCTCTCCTGCTGATGTTCAGGTGTATATCAGTATGTAGTGTCTCTACTTTAAAGAGTCCTCCTGCTGATGTTCAGGTGTATATCAGTATGTAGTGTCTCTACTTTAAAGAGTCCTCTCCTGCTGATGTTCAGGTGTATATCAGTATGTAGTGTCTCTACTTTAAAGAGTCCTCTCCTGCTGATGATCAGGTGTATATCAGTATGTAGCATCTCTACTTTAAAGAGTCCTCTCCTGCTGATGTTCAGGTGTATATCAGTATGTAGTGTCTCTACTTTAAAGAGTCCTCCTGCTGATGTTCAGGTGTATATCAGTATGTAGTGTCTCTACTTTAAAGAGTCCTCTCCTGCTGATGTTCAGGTGTATATCAGTATGTAGTTTATCTACTTTAAAGAGTTCTCTCCTGCTGATGTTATGGTGTATATCAGTATGTAGTGTCTCTACTTTAAAGAGTCCTCTCCTGCTGATGATCAGGTGTATATCAGTATGTAGCATCTCTACTTTAAAGAGTCCTCTCCTGCTGATGTTCAGGTGTATATCAGTATGTAGTGTCTCTACTTTAAAGAGTCCTCTCCTGCTGATGTTCAGGTGTATATCAGTATGTAGTGTCTCTACTTTAAAGAGTCCTCCTGCTGATGTTCAGGTGTATATCAGTATGTAGTGTCTCTACTTTAAAGAGTCCTCTCCTGCTGATGTTCAGGTGTATATCAGTATGTAGTCTATCTACTTTAAAGAGTTCTCTCCTGCTGATGTTATGGTGTATATCAGTATGTAGTGTCTCTACTTTAAAGAGTCCTCTCCTGCTGATGTTCAGGTGTATATCAGTATGTAGTGTATCTACTTTAAAGAGTCCTCTCCTGCTGATGTTCAGGTGTATATCAGTATGTAGTGTCTCTACTTTAAAGAGTCCTCCTGCTGATGTTCAGGTGTATATCAGTATGTAGTGTCTCTACTTTAAAGAGTTCTCTCCTGCTGATGTTATGGTGTATATCAGTATGTAGTGTCTCTACTTTAAAGAGTCCTCTCCTGCTGATGATCAGGTGTATATCAGTATGTAGCATCTCTACTTTAAAGAGTCCTCTCCTGCTGATGTTCAGGTGTATATCAGTATGTAGTGTCTCTACTTTAAAGAGTCCTCCTGCTGATGTTCAGGTGTATATCAGTATGTAGTGTCTCTACTTTAAAGAGTCCTCTCCTGCTGATGTTCAGGTGTATATCAGTATGTAGTGTATCTACTTTAAAGAGTCCTCTCCTGCTGATGTTCAGGTGTATATCAGTATGTAGTGTCTCTACTTTAAAGAGTCCTCCTGCTGGTGTTCAGGTGTATATCAGTATGTAGTGTCTCTACTTTAAAGAGTTCTCTCCTGCTGATGTTATGGTGTATATCAGTATGTAGTGTCTCTACTTTAAAGAGTCCTCTCCTGCTGATGATCAGGTGTATATCAGTATGTAGCATCTCTACTTTAAAGAGTCCTCTCCTGCTGATGTTCAGGTGTATATCAGTATGTAGTGTCTTTACTTTAAAGAGTCCTCTCCTGCTGATGTTCAGGTGTATATCAGTATGTAGTGTCTCTACTTTAAAGAGTCCTCTCCTGCTGATGTTCAGGTGTATATCAGTATGTAGTGTCTCTACTTTAAAGAGTCCTCCTGCTGATGTTCAGGTGTATATCAGTATGTAGTGTCTCTACTTTAAAGAGTTCTCTCCTGCTGATGTTATGGTGTATATCAGTATGTAGTGTCTCTACTTTAAAGAGTCCTCCTGCTGATGTTCAGGTGTATATCAGTATGTAGTGTCTCTACTTTAAAGAGTTCTCTCCTGCTGATGTTCAGGTGTATATCAGTATGTAGTGTCTCTACATTAAAGAGTCCTCTCCTGATGATGTTCAGGTGTATATCAGTATGTAGTGTATCTACTTTAAAGAGTCCTCTCCTGCTGATGTTCAGGTGTATATCAGTATGTAGTGTCTCTACTTTAAAGAGTCCTCCTGCTGATGTTCAGGTGTATATCAGTATGTAGTGTCTCTACTTTAAAGAGTCCTCTCCTGCTGATGTTCAGGTGTATATCAGTATGTAGTGTCTCTACTTTAAAGAGTCCTCTCCTGCTGATGATCAGGTGTATATCAGTATGTAGCATCTCTACTTTAAAGAGTCCTCTCCTGCTGATGTTCAGGTGTATATCAGTATGTAGTGTCTCTACTTTAAAGAGTCCTCCTGCTGATGTTCAGGTGTATATCAGTATGTAGTGTCTCTACTTTAAAGAGTCCTCTCCTGCTGATGTTCAGGTGTATATCAGTATGTAGTCTATCTACTTTAAAGAGTTCTCTCCTGCTGATGTTATGGTGTATATCAGTATGTAGTGTCTCTACTTTAAAGAGTCCTCTCCTGCTGATGATCAGGTGTATATCAGTATGTAGCATCTCTACTTTAAAGAGTCCTCTCCTGCTGATGTTCAGGTGTATATCAGTATGTAGTGTCTCTACTTTAAAGAGTCCTCTCCTGCTGATGTTCAGGTGTATATCAGTATGTAGTGTCTCTACTTTAAAGAGTCCTCCTGCTGATGTTCAGGTGTATATCAGTATGTAGTGTCTCTACTTTAAAGAGTCCTCTCCTGCTGATGTTCAGGTGTATATCAGTATGTAGTCTATCTACTTTAAAGAGTTCTCTCCTGCTGATGTTATGGTGTATATCAGTATGTAGTGTCTCTACTTTAAAGAGTCCTCTCCTGCTGATGTTCAGGTGTATATCAGTATGTAGTCTATCTACTTTAAAGAGTTCTCTCCTGCTGATGTTATGGTGTATATCAGTATGTAGTGTCTCTACTTTAAAGAGTCCTCTCCTGCTGATGATCAGGTGTATATCAGTATGTAGCATCTCTACTTTAAAGAGTCCTCTCCTGCTGATGTTCAGGTGTATATCAGTATGTAGTGTCTCTACTTTAAAGAGTCCTCTCCTGCTGATGTTCAGGTGTATATCAGTATGTAGTGTCTCTACTTTAAAGAGTCCTCCTGCTGATGTTCAGGTGTATATCAGTATGTAGTGTCTCTACTTTAAAGAGTCCTCTCCTGCTGATGTTCAGGTGTATATCAGTATGTAGTCTATCTACTTTAAAGAGTTCTCTCCTGCTGATGTTATGGTGTATATCAGTATGTAGTGTCTCTACTTTAAAGAGTCCTCTCCTGCTGATGTTCAGGTGTATATCAGAAGCTGGCTCAACCTAACCTGGATATGTTTGAGTTAGCCGGTTGGCCTAATCCAAAACATACGCGCTCTCGCTAAACGGTACTACGACGCGGGTTATCAAGTGGATCGCTCAAGCCAGCCGTGTCCTATCTAGTTAGGTGCACGTTCACATGAAAGGGGTGGTATCTGGAGCATTCGACCAATCACAAACATGAAGCATACTGACAGCGCAGCGTCATACTTCCTGAATGAAAAGTGAACTTTAATATTAGACATATGAAGAAGTTAAACTTTAAACATCCATGACTCAAACACTTGATCCAGGATCAAAGCCACAGAGCTGCACCTGCAAGGTGAATACAGCTGGTGACAGAACAAGTGTTTGAATGCGTACATTAACAGGTTTATGATATCACTGCCCGTCTAAGACACGATCTGACTTTCATTACATTTGACTCCAGTGTTTCATCAACTTAATGTGTTGCTTAAAATAATACTTCTGCATACAGCATGTGACACTGTGAGTGTTGCACGGCCAGATACGGCTCAGCTGACTCAGATCAGGAGATATATGATACATTATGAAGTGATATGCCGCGGACTGTACTTAATGTTACTCTGATCCGGTTACTTATGTTGTGGCAGATATTTAAGTAAGCTTTCTTAACGCTAATGTTATAATAGTGAGATTGCTCTGAAGATGGAGCTGATATTCTATTAATTTTCACGTTCACACAGTCGGTGATTTTTGCCGGCCGTCTTTCCTGCGACGGCAGCTTTTCTGTATTTCCTTTCTCCTGTAATATGACTTGATCGCTTTAAACTCCGCACACTGAGCTCTGATTGGTCAGCAGGCGGTGCTTTCACTGAGTTGAGCTCTTAGCCTGCAACCTAACCTGCTCCGGACCAGGTTAGCCGCACAGCATCAGTTACCATGGAGATCTAGCCGCTAAGAAGAGAACCAGCTTCGTAGGACCGGAAAGCCGGAGTTTACCCTGAATTTAGCCGCTAAGAGAACATCCGGCTTCGTGGTACAGGCCTCTGCGCATCTCGTAACATAATCTTATTGTTGTTGTATTGTTTACGTTGGAGGGATTTGAATTTGAACTTCGCCTCTGCCTTGTGTTGTTCCCAGATGTGAGTAAAGAGAAGAAGAAGAAGAAGAAGAAGACTCCCAGCCCTGTGGACGTCATGGATCTGGTGAGCTCGAAGCGTTCGGGCGTCACGAAGCAGAAGAAGAGGCTGCAGGGTCAGATGGGACCCGGGAGGAACAAAGCCACCGTGAAGGACAAGAGGATCAAATCTGCAGTGGGTCAGTTACATTTTTTAAATTTGATTATTACTGTCTATCATTATTCCATTGAGTCCATTTAGGACATTTCCAGCATCAACAATGGCAGTTTTTACCAGAAAATGTCCATATCTGTAGTCTCTGATATCTGTAGTCTCTGATATCTGTAGTCTCTGATATCTGAAGTCTCTGATATCTGTAGTCTCTGATATCTGTAGTCTCTGATATCTGTAGTCTCTGATATCTGTAGTCTCTGATATCTGTAGTCTCTGATATCTGTAGTCTCTGATATCTGTAGTCTCTGATATCCGTAGTCTCTGATATCCGTAGTCTCTGATATCCGTAGTCTCTGATATCTGTAGTCTCTGATATCTGTAGTCTCTGATATCCGTAGTCTCTGATATCTGTAGTCTCTGATATCTGTAGTCTCTGATATCTGTAGTCTCTGATATCTGTAGTCTCTGATATCTGTAGTCTCTCTGGGCTGAATTTGATGGATTTTGGGTCGATTCTGCAGATTTAAGTGACTCTGGATCATTTGGACAGATTGCTTATTTGAACACAAATTGTCCACAGTAGAGATAATCATGTTCATCTTGTGCTCTCTATATCAAACACTCCTCATGGTAGTCAAAATGAGTCCACAGAGTACACATATGGCCACTTTCTGGTTAAAACTGCCAGTTTTATTCCTGAACATGTCAGAAGTGGATTCAGCGTCTTCATTAACCCCCAAACCCACTCCTAAACTGCTTTACCCCCCCCCCCCATCTCATAACTCCCCCATCTAGAAAAACTGTGTTTGTTAAATGTGACTTTTGTAAAACGTCTTTTTGTGTGTCTTGAAAGCGCTTTATAAGTTAATTGTATTATTTAGTAAAGATCACATCATCTGCACACCTTCCTCCTGTCTCTAAACATCCTCCTCTTCTTCGTTGGTATTTCTGTAGAGGAGTTCAGAAAGAAGCAGAAGAAGAGTCAGCTGAGCGTTAACCTGAAGTACTTTATGGAAGATGTCGACAAAGCCAGAGACTCGGACACTGCGAAGGTAAGAGCCGTTGAACAATCAACGTCTTTGTTTTTATTGGTTATTTATCATTTACTTGTATTTTTAGGCATCAATCATGCAGACATCATTTAGCTTTTTCTTTCTCTCCATCTCTCCATCCATCTATCCATCTATCCATCTATCCATCTCTCCATCTCTCCATCCATCTATCCATCTATCTATCCATCTATCCATCCATCTCTCCATCCATCTATCTATCTATCCATCTCTCCATCTCTCCATCTATCCATCCATCTATCTATCCATCTCTCCATCTCTCCATCCATCTATCTATCCATCTCTCCATCTATCCATCCATCTCTCCATCTATCCATCTCTCCATCCATCTATCCATCTATCTATCCATCTCTCTCTCCATCTATCCATCTCTCCATCTCTCCATCTATCCATCCATCCATCTATCCATCTCTCCATCTCTCCATCTATCTATCCATCTCTCCATCTATCTATCCATCTATCTATCCATCTATCTATCCATCTATCCATCTATCTCTCCATCTATCCATCCATCTATCTATCCACCTCTCCATCTATCTATCCATCTCTCCATCTCCATCTCTCCATCTCTCCATCTCTCCATCTATCTATCCATCTATCCATCTCTCCATCTATCCATCTCTCCATCTATCTATCCATCTATCTATCCATCTCTCCATCTCTCCATCTATCCATCTCTCCATCTATCTATCCATCTCTCCATCTATCCATCTCTCCATCTCTCCATCTCTCCATCTCTCCATCTCTCCATTTCTCCATCTCTCCATCCAGGGTTCCCGCGGGGCCTTAAAAAGTCTTACATTTGATAATCTGAATTGAAGGCCTTAAAAAGTCTTAAATATGATCAAACAAATAAGAAAGGTCTTAAATATGATTTAGAAGGTCTTAAAATGATGGGATTTGAAAGGTACTTCTGTGTGGAAATGTCCGGGCTGCAAAGTAACCAGTACGGTAAGAGCCTTTCAGCTCCCCCACACGATCTGTATTGAATTAAATCAACATGGAACCAGTAATCACTAGCTTTCTTTCCTCCGGCCCCTTATCGGAGAACACCCAGCTAGTAACCTAGCAACCAAGCTTCAGCTAGCGGCAGTCAGAAATTAGGCATCTTCGAATCTACTTACTGTACAGGACTGTTACAGGATGTGTGTTTTGTAAATTGTCACTTTTTATTTTATTCTATTTTTGATTATATTATAACTTTGCTTTAACTAATACTTTTTTATGCACGTCTTTTGCTCTTTTTCTGCTGTAACAACGTAAATGTTCCCTCTGTGGGACTAATAAAGGTTTCTGATATTCTATTGTATGAACTCCATTTAACTTTTTATTTGATCCTGTATTCTTTGTAGATTTTGAGCCACAATTCAGGGCGTCAGTCGAGGAACCGTCCGGACGCCCCCGCTCCGAAGACCCCGGAGAAAGAGTCCTTGTTCACGGAGAAAGAGTTCCAGCAGTTCCAGAAGGAGTACTTCGGCAGGACTGTGGAGGAGAAGAAATGAAGCGCACCCTAAAAACACAAAAAAAACTCTTTGGTGGATGTCAACGGGTTTCTGGACTGGATTTTCTCCGCTTGAACCTCCTTTTTATGTCTCTCACGAAGACTGTGAGGAGAAATGTTTTTATAGGTTGAATCTGAGCAGGTGTTTTCCTGCACACACACACACACTCTGTCACACACACTGTCAGACACACACACTGTCAGATACACACACACTGTCAGACACACATACACACACACTGTCAGACACACACACTGTCACACACACACTGTCAGATACACACACACACACTGTCACACACACACTGCTCTGAATGCATCTCCTCATTTGAGTTGCTTCATTTTCACATCCTCCTTACAAAGTGATCTAAAAGTTAAATATATTTTACTTCCTTTCATTGGTATTAATATTTTTCTTATATCCTTGTTTAAAAAATCTTGAAAATTCCCGAAAAGGGGATTACGTTTTATTTTTCTTCTGATGTTGAATTGTAAAATCTCGTAATCATAAATAAATAATTTGCCAAATTCCTCCTGAGTTATTATTATCACACACAGCAGTTTGAGCTCCAGGTGAATATTTGGGATATCTTTTAGAAACGCTGCTCATTTCCTGTAGAATTTAAAGGAGACCTATCGAGCAAAATGCACTTTGTGATGTCTTCTCTACATCAACATGTGTCCCCGGTGTGTCGGGGAACTCACGCAGCGTCAGACAATAAAACCCACATCTCTAAAAACGGGGGAACAACGAGGGGGTACAGATATGACGTCAAATCGGCGGTGGACCCACAGAAAGTTGCTATCAGAAACCATGCCTGACGTGTTTTGGACGTCTTTGTTTACATTAGCAAGCCTCGCTAACACTCAGAGCTAACCTGTAGCCTACTGGAGAGCACGTGTTTAAAAAGCAGGAAATAAAAAAAGGAACTACATCACGGTCACATGACTTCACGTCACCACCGCTAAACTAAAGGTGGCTAATGTTGGGCTATAAAGGAACTACAGCACGGTCACATGACTTTACGTCATCACCGCTAAGCTAAAGGGGGCTAATGTTGGGCTATAAAGGAACTACAGCACGGTCACATGACTTTACGTCACCACCGCTAAGCTAAAGGGGGCTAATGTGGGGCTATAAAGGAACTACAGCTCGTTCACATGACTTCACGTCACCACCCAGAATCAGCACTTTAGTAACAGGCTGAAATAGAGGGATATATGAGCTAGAATGATCTGTTTGGTATTTTGAGCAAAACACTCATTGACACGTGTTTTTTATACATTTGTATATAAGTGAGACCTATAATGCCTAAATAATAGTATAATAGGAGACTTTTAAAGCTGCCGTCTTTTTTTTCCTGCAGGCGAACGTGGACCAGGGCAAGAAGGATATCAATAAGACCTTCGAGGAGTTCCAGCAGATCGCGGGGAAGCTGCAGGAGAGCCTGAGCTTCATCGAGCAGGGCATGGATCATCTGCAGCGCCACAACCTCCCCTCCCTCAGCGAAGTCTCTCAGGGGGGGGGGAGAGCAGCCAGCATGGTGACGCTCACAGCCTCCGGGGGGGTCATGTCTCTGGCCCTCGCGACACACAGCCAAGCCTCCGGGCTGATGGAGGGTCTGGCCCTCGGCATAGACCTCCAATTCGCCAAGAAGAAGCAGGTCCTGGAGTCGGGGCTGGCCACAAAGATCCGGAAACTGACAGAGGAGCTGAAAAGAGGCGTGGACAAACTCTACGACCTGTTCAAGCATTACCGTTAGGGCTGCACGATATATCGTGTCGTGATGATAATTGCGTTATGCATCGATATTCACATTGCAGGACGTGCGATGTTAAGTAGGCAAATTAACTCAAACACGTCATGTTACAATTATTTTTGCTGCTTGCTATAAAAGGAAAACTTGTGCGGCTCTCATGTCAGGGGTACTTGAGTGAGTGACATGCAGGCACAGCAAACCACCAATCACAATCATTCTTGATCAGATCACAGCAGGATAACCGAGCTAGCTCAGCTTGTTGCTCTGATAACTTAAGTTCCAGAAGTCTGTGACTAAAATCCTTCATCCGGGTTAAATATCGTTAAAAAAATACCAATTGTATTTCATTAAAGTTAAAGAAAGGATGGTTTGCGGATAAAAAAAACTGTCTTTTCTTCAATTCCTGTATTTTTTCGTATCGCAATATATATCGCAGGGGAAAAAAATAATCGCAATGTCAGTTTTTTCTAATATCGTGCAGCCCTAGTTACCGTGCAGCAGAGTGACATATACCATTTAATTTGCATATTTAAAAGTCCATCCATCTTCTCCTGCTTATCCGTGTCGGGTCGCGGGGGTAGCAGTTCCATATTTAAAAGTCTTATAATAATAATATAATAATACTAATAATAGTAATAGATAGAGGCGGTGCAGGGATGACGTATTTACCGGAAGTAAGCTGCCGGTTCCCTCGACAAAAAAGCAACGGGATTTCTCCATAGGATTTAGGAAAATAGCTGGAAATAAGATCTGTGGAAACAAAGCTGTTTGATAAATGCACGTTTTGCTCTGCCGGATAATCTCCACATGTCTTCCCTACTTTACAATGTTCGAATCATAAATCTAATGTCAAAGCAAAATGCTAACGTTATGCTATAAAGGAGCTACAGCCGAGTCCAGCAGCACGACTTCAACGTCACGCCAACTTCAGATTCCATATTCAAACACACAGATTCTAAATGGAACGAGTTGAAGCGTTTGTTTGAACACTTTGCAGGAGGCAGGGACTTGCTTTCAAGCAGAACAGCAACTAACTTAGAGGAGTGTTTACGTGTTCGGCGTAATGACGTACAACGACCTCCACGACTTCTGTAGTCCTATTCAGCCACTTGGGTAACAACCATCGTTTTTCAGACACGTCCACTCTTCAGAAATCACCAGTGGGGTCACTGCTGATGGATTTAATGTCCTAGAACAAAACGTGATCCGTCTCTTAAATGTGTTTCAACCACAGACCTTAGTTCAGCTATCTTCCTAAATCCTATGGAGAGTTCCCATTGGCTCTGAGACGAGGGAACAGGAAGTGGTGAAATGCTGACTCACTTCCGGGTTTTAGGACTCGTCACTGCACCGCTCATGGATAGCGACTTTCAAGGGACCCAAGCCTGCTTTACATGGTGAACAAACAAACAAACAAACAAACAAACAAGAGAGGCAAGGGTTACTGTGCAGCAGAGTAACGGCCCGTCCACACTACAGCTTCAAAAACGGTTTCCAACGCGTCTGCCCATTCACTTTGAATGGGGTGACGTCACGTTGCCTCGCTTTTCGCCGAACTGAATTGTGGGTAGCATAGCGGTCCGTCTCCGGCGTCAGAAGTTGAACAATGTTCAACTTCTGACGCCGGAGACGCCGGAGTAGCCAGCGCCAGCCAATCAAATCCCGTTTCTGAAAATCTGACAGCTCAAGCCGTAGCCAATCAAACCGCGTCTAAACTGGGAAAGATATCCCGCCGTTCATTTCTATATTTCAAAAAAATATGGAGGAGAAACGAATTATCGCCGTAGCAAATCACCCGGTTTTGTATGACCAGACCCTCTTCACCTACCGGGATACAAACCGGAGGAACCAGGCATGGAGGGAGGTGGCAGAGACAGTGGGTGAAACTGGTAGGTTTTCGCCTGTTTGGGGAGTTTATATATATATTAGGGCCCGGGACTCGATTAAAAAAATTAATCTAATTAATTAGAGGCTTTGTAATTAATTAATCGAAATTAATCGCATTTTTAATCACATAAATATTTGACCTAAGAACAGTGAGAAGCAATTTTTTTTCACATGGATTTTAGTATACCATTAGGCGCATTCACACCGCAGTACTTTTCCCACAAAGGTTCATGAGAACTTAGTTCATGAGAACTCTTTGAACCTGGGGGAGGATTAGGCAAATTAAGCCGCTGACGTCACTTCTTCTTCTTCTGCTTTGGGTTTACTGGCAGGCCGCAAACCACTTCACGGCGTATACTGCCGCCCAAAGTCCCCAGCCGGAAGTCCCCGGAGTTGGGGACTGGCTTCAGTAGAAGCTGCTGGGACTCCCAGCAGCCTTCCGAGTAAATCGCCAGAACGCCGACACCTCCTCATCTCCACCGCTCCCATGTTTTATTTTGTGTTGCCATAAGTTAGTCTCTCTGCGTTTCTGCGCTGGGCTAATGCTAATGCTAATAATGCTAATGCGAGGATAATAAAATGGCGTCTTCACAAAACTTTTTGGGAGTTTTACGGGGCGTGGTTTGCAATCCGCCCAGCCAATCAGAAATATAGCTCTTTTCTCACAAGAGAGCCGTACGAAAGTCCCTGCTCTCTAGCAGCTCTCTGCTCTCTAGCAGGGACTTTCGTGGGGGTAAAAAGGTTCTCATGAACTAATTTTAGTACCGGCTCTTTTTGGTGTGAACGCGATAAAAGAGGCTAACGTCCACGCTAGCTTCCACGCTAGCTGCTATATGTTTTGCATTGAGGTGATACTTGAGGCTTGATGTGCTGCGGTGATATGCGAATTCCTTTTTGCATAATTTGCACACAACCGTGCTCTTATCGACGCTTCCATCCGTCCGTTTTTTAAAACAACATTTCCCACTGTTGTTCACTGTGGTTTGTTGTTGTCTGAAGTCATGAACGTTAGTTGGTGCTCCAGTATAATCGGTACGCCTGAAACTCATCCAGTGAGAAACGTTCCGCGGTGCAAAAATAAGTGCGATTAAAATGCGTTAATTTTTTTAACGCGTTAATTTTTGTGTAATTAATTAATCTTAATTAACGCGTTAAAGTCCCGGCCCTAATATATATATATATATATATATTGCTCGCATAAAATCCCCCGGGTTTTTTGCTTTGTATGTCGGGGGCGGGAGATTCATGTGATTGGTTGTTGGTCGCGTTGCTTGAATAACATCCCCAAGCTTCAGACACGCCCAGCTCCAAGCTTTTTTTGAAGCTGTAGTGTGGACGCTCCGTAACAGATACAGACTTCATTTGCATATTTAGAAAGTCTTATACTTACATACAGACATTACTGTTGACACATCTTGTGTATTGAGCTGCTGCGTGGGGCAATGTGGTTCTTTAATCTGAATCTGAACACTCCATTTATCCTGGGAATAGATTTCCATCACAGACGCTTCATACTAGAACTAAATTAAATAAAAAACTAATAAATGTCTATAGACTTAAGACATTGAATTAAATTGGGCTAAATTCTATCCCAGGTTAAACTTGGGTTAAACTACATCTAGCCTAAAATAAAATCGAATACAAGTATTGAAATAAACACAAGCTAACATTAAATAGCATAAAAATAATGATACAAACATAACATTTGCACTGATCTTTTGCATAAATTATTAAAAACATTGATCCGATTGTATTAATTATTTACCTTAAATACTATATTAGTTACTATATTTTGCACAAAAAGTATTTAATTGATGCTCAAAATGTGTAAATTGTGTCTTGATATATATATTTGAATATGCTATATACTCTGTACCTTTCTGC